TACCAGAACGACTTTTAATCCAAGTAAGCTTTTAGATAATAATTCGGTGGGTTACTTTTGGGATAAATGCAAATGTCCTATAATTCATTTCATTTAAATAGCAGTTTGAAATTATAAGTTTTTGCGCCCATCACTTAGACTAAAAACTTTAGAGGCTTTCTGTAAAATGTACTTTGATTTCTTAAGCGGTGTGTTTGTAGAAATAAACCAGTATAGGCCTACGGCGTTTGATATTTTACTAAAAATGTTGCTGCACTGTAATGACATTAATCAAATCTTGCATGAATTTGTGGGTGTGGTGTACTAGATTTAAACTTATAAGAATTGATTTTTTTTGCACTTTGGTTTTCAGGCAGGTATTCACTTATATATAGGCCTAGAGAAGGTGACCGTAAAATTAAACATTAAAAGGTAAACCCGGAGTAGAACCAAATTGTGTATATAATTTCTGTGAATTTTTCTCTTTCGATATAGTTTTTAGGAAGTGATAATTAAACTTGTTATGAAAACAGATAAAGTAGAATTAAATCAACACTTTTGAGAACACACACTCTCGCTACAGTTTGACAAATAGACGGGACGCAAATAACCGATTCCTACAAAATGGTGACCACTGGCGGACCTTGAAAATTGGGCGAACAAGTTTTTGTTTCATTTGATTATTATGATTATTTTTAATTCCAAGGTGCAGCCCACTTTTCTTTGTCTATTCCACAAATTTGTGAAAATGTTAGAGGGAATATACATTTGCGAACATCTAAAAACAAAACTACCAATTTTTTACAAAATACCTTACGAGGATGTTGGTAAATGAGAGTCTAAAGTATCCTGTAAAATTATGGCACGTTTTCAAGAAAAGTGGTATTTTTGTATACATTTCCAACGGTGGTCGGCCTATTTTTGCAACTACTGACTATTTTTGCAACTTCTGCTCCAATTTACCATTTTTTTCAGTCCAAATTTTGTTTGCTATTGGTTATACAATGTATGTTCATGAACGGGTGCAGGCCAACTAGACTGGTTCCTTTACCATACAACTTTCCGGCATCTATAAATTGATCCATTTCATCTTTAGTAAAGTCAGGGAACAAGACTACTTGAACATTTTTTTTTCTTGGTTTTTCCAGCATTTTCGAACACAAAACTTCAAACATGTCAGTGTAACAATATTTGATCTTTTATACTAACCCCTCATCAAGTTAATTTCTGAAAATTACAGCAAAAGCCAACGATGTACATTCTCTTTAAATAAAAGGGAGAAAAGACAAACAAAAAATTGTCCTGTATCAACAATTACAAAAAATAAATGTCTATGCTCAATCTAATAGTAATTTCACGTGCCCACTCCGTAATAGAATTATACTCTATTGTTTTGAGGTTATAAGGTCAACACATTACAAAGGACGGCCCTGGGGTCAGGTCTTCATTCTTCATTAAAGAATTCACAGCCTCACAGGTGTCAAATTGGCTTATATCCAATATTCTGCGGTTTACTGCACGCGAAACACCGCGAAGAAAATCAATAGCCTACGTGAATCCTTTTGACAAAGCTTTGACTCAAAGTAGATTAGGTTTTTTAGAACTCGTAACCAGCATTTTCAAACAAGACGACACCGACCCGGGGAAATTTTTCAGATCAAATCAGCCAAGGATTTTATCATAGGGCCTACATTCAATGCTGTTGAGATCCAGGCTATAAAAATAATATTTTATTGTTGTTTTTGAAATGAAAAGAGTAATCACAAATTAAAGGGGATGAATGAGGCGTTCAGAAGTCACAAGTGAACGCATTCCTAGACCTACCTGACTCGGTTATATTTACAAATAGTTATTCACAAATCTTGTACATGCATAGCAAATGTAATTTTTTTTTGTTTTTTTTTTCAACAATTAAGGTGAATAATGTGGTTTGGTAATCCTTGCTAGGACAAAATTCACCTGTCCCTTAAATTATGTTGGTGCTGTGAAATGGCTTGAAGGAAAATGTGTTCGATAAAAAAAAATCATATCCTCGTCAAAGAGTGAGGAAAATTCAGAATTTCTCCTGGCCCCATAAATGTGGCCAATTTACTGGACTACTTCCGTAAATAAAGGCCACACTTAGAACATGTACGAAAACATGTACAACTTTGTCAAATTTTGATTTTCACATTTAGGCTTAGTTTGTAGTTTATTTGTGCATATACACACCCTCTTTATAGTCTAATCAGAAAGTGATGCCTTTTTCAGATGTCTATTTTTCGTGAAATTTCCAGATTCGTTTGCACACGTTTGCATCAAAATTTCAACATGAAATTTCACGAAAAATACACATCTGAAAAAAGGCAGCACTTTCTGATCAGCCCATGAAGAGGGTGAGTATGTTTTTAAAACAAAAATAAACTACAAACTGAGCCTAAATGTGATAATCAAAATTTGACAAAGTTCTACATGTTATTGTACATGTTCCAAGTGTGGCCTTTATTCACGGAGGTAGTCCAGTAAATTGGCCACATTTATGGGGCTAAATTTCTCCTGGTCACAGTGAATGACTTTTTGAATTTATTGAAATATGCCCTATTATGGTATTGAATACTATAATAGGGCATATTTCAATAAATTACATTGGTCAGTAGATAGCTATAATTTCCTGTAGATTTTTAAATTATTTTCTTTTAAATTAATTACCTCGGAATTTGTTTTGGAAAGAATGTAGTATCCAGTCACCACTTCTTTGGTCGTGTACATAGTCTATGGAGAGTCCAGTGCATTTTCAAAAAAATTTCAAACAAAATCCGATTTTTTTTTCAGACCCATATTCTTGTCTTTTCAACATTATTGCAATATATATCTGACCGTCATCCGACCTTCATTGAGATATTTGTTTTATTATGAGAAAAGCGGCGTCAAGATGCAACATTCTTTCCAATTTGCTTTTGACTTACCGACAAAGAAGTTGGAATTGCTAGCTGTTTTACTTCGTTTGCCCACTTCAATCCATTGGCAAATGTTGTCCAACTCGTACTGTAGACTCCATTGATTGAAATACGAAATACATGTACATTGGTGTAGTCACAAGCCGTTCATGGCAATCCACATAGTTCATTGTTCAACAAATTTGATGAAAGTTCAGCTAGCCTAAACTTTCTGTTCCGTAATAATTTTCACTCACGACTATTCCAAAGACGTCTGTGAACTGGGGGAAGTTTGAGTGCAGCGAGTCAGGGTGGAATTCCAATGGGGCACAGGCCAGGCAGCATGGAAACCTGGCCGGTGGCCGCCATTATACTTTAGTGACCCGCGTGTGTAGTGTTTATGCCGTCTCCCGTTGACATTTTGCTCGTCTTCTCTCTCACAACCTCACACGGTAGAGAATTACATGACAGAAGTCCACGTCCTTCTGCTTCAGTATTTCTCACATTGTCCCCGTCCAGTGAAAGGAATTTTCATTCCTCGGCAGTCACAGAATGCTCAGGAACCGCTGCGGAAATAATGTAATTTCGTGGACAAAAGACGAGCGCCAGCCACACATTCCAAATATAAAACTGACAACACAGTCGGCAGACGGATTATGGTGAGTGATTAGGATCAGTGCGCATTTAGCACGGCGAGTTCGAACCTGAGGGACATGTCCCTCCGCGGCCTAGGTTTTTTACCCTTACTGTAGTGAAGTACTTTCATGTGGTTTACGCTAATATTAAGCCATTAAATATAACATTCACACAAAGAAACATACCTTTTCTTGGTAATGACAAACCATGTGCACATATTAAATACTTTTTAGGCAAAATGGTACGCCCTATTTTATTTGACGCGGAAAGATATCGAGACGAGGCTGCGGGCCATCAGTGACAGCCGAACGGGGAGTAAGAGTGACTGCTATTGGTTGAAAGTGGAAGTAGGCCTATAATCAGTTTGATCATTGACAAAACTGAAATGCACTTGTTTACGGTGGTTCGTTGGAATGTAATTGTTGTGTTTGACAGTCTCAGTGTACAAAACAAATACAATGGGCTTTCTAATTATTTACGAGTCGGGCATATTACATTGAAAGCGAGCTAAAATCTTCATTTTGGAACTTGCGAAGAGAAATGAAAGCAATGACATGAGGTTAATTACAAATTAATACCAGTCTGCCCTGATTTAAATTGTGATTTAAACATACCCTAATGTTTAATACACTTTTAAAAACAAAGTAAAGAAGCTAGAATGGAAAATAGTCTGGCACCATCCCGTTGAACATTTCACAATTTATATAATACATTCAGGGCACACGACCAAAATGGCTTCCTCGAGAATACGGTCATTATAATGCAGGAAAAGATTTCTGGAAATTGACAACGGCCATATGAATGGGACTGCACTTGCACGATTCTGCAATTGCTTTGTCAGTAATCAATAATCAATAACCAGTAATCGACTTTGAAATTACATAACTGGCCTCGATTTCAATTCTCGCCAGACGAGCGTATTAATTCTACATGTATACATTATGCATAGTATAACACATGCAAATTAAGTAAATTGTTCGATCTTTATAATATTAATCACTTAGTTTTTTCTTGTTGGCAAATAAATCAAGAACTGAAGCCAATATAACTGCCCCATGCTATATTTCAAAGTACACAAGATTTATAACACGCATTTTGTTTCTCTTAGTTTTACAATAATAAGCAATTTGCGAGTTAAATTTGAATACAATTTGGAACGCTGACTTAATCCAATACTTTGCTGCACGTTTTAACTTTGCATTCTCCAAATCAAAGAGACTGTTACTATATCACATGATTCGGGGCAAGCCTAAGCTTACGCTAGCAACGCCCAGCTCCGGCATGGTCTGGTATCTTTGTGCCATTCTCACCCATTGTGAACAATGTATCGGCGCTTTGCTTAGAGCTTGCCCCGAATCATGTGATTACCAACAGTGTCTTTGGTCTGGACTCTGGAGAATTCAAAGTTAAAATGTGCCAAGCATTCTGAGCAAGTCAAGGTACCAGATGTTTTCAAATTTAAATCCCAAAGGGTATAGGTCACTCGCAAATGGCTTATTTGAAATAACGGAGTAATTTACATATGCAAACAAAGATATCAAAATCAGTCTGGAAGACGGAAAGGATTATGGACCGAGTGGTGACAATTTTATGACAATCAAGTCAGGATACATTTTATAAAACTGTAAAAAAAAAACACCCCAGAATTTCTGGATTAAAATAACTAGACCTACGAGACTAAGTTCTATTTACAAATAATTATTTACAAATGAATCGGAAATTTGCAAAGTATGCCTGCTTTTTCAACCACAAGGGAATATGTGGTTTTGGGAATCCTTGCCGGGACAAAATGCGCATGCCCCCTAATCTATGTTTGTATTGTGAAATGGTTTGAAGAAAAATGCGTTTGGAACAAAAGAAAATCCTCATCGCGGTTTTATAGTTCAGTCATCAGATTCCGGATAAAATCATCACTTTGTGGCCGGTTCCATGGCGACCTGACCGGTCGGCTTAGCCTTTTCGGATGGAGCAACACAGAATGAAGGACAGGACAATGCCCAGAACCTGCAAGGTGTCAAAGCCCATTCGCAAATGGGTAAGGAAATTAATTATTAGAAAAATAACCATATTGCCATCTAAGAGGGTGGGGTTGTGTTTGCGGGGGACTACACGTCTAAATGTCCTTTGCTACGGCCGGCTAGAAATGAATGCAGCCGCTTCCATGCATAATGCGCGTGTGTAATTTCTAGCCTTACAGCCAAGTAATGGACCGATCCAGTAAGCCCCGCCCAATGCGCACGTGGGAAAATTAACAGGTGCTCCTCTCCAATGCCATGCTGCATTTTCCTGCCGCGCGCATCATACGCGCGTGCACGCATGTTGGACTTTAGTGCACGCACGTCGGACATAAATCACGGCTGTCATTGGTCAGAACACCATGGGGTGGTACTAGATCAGTCCATTCAGACACGGCTTGTTGCTGTAGCTTTAACCTCAGCTAGCCTGTAGAAATGAACTAATATGTAGTGTATTCAACTTTCAAACGCTAGGCTACATAGGCCTATTTGGACTTATAAATTCCAGCACTTCAATTTAAACCCCCAAACTAAAACTCATTTTTGCGAAAAGGCATTCTAATATCACATCTAAAAGAAAGTCCGTATTTTTGGCCGCTAGAAAAGAGGGACATTTCGCACACTCGAGCATTTTGGGGTGTGGTTGTTACCAATCAAGTTGTGAATATTAATTTCTGTTTTTGTTCTCATCTAACTTAGTTATCCTGGATTGTGGAGGGAGGGGGATAGCAAATGTTATGACTTATTTTACCTGAAACACTCCCACACCAATTAGGATTCCCGCCACATATCCCACGTGACTCCGTATGTCGGCAATTAGGGCATCTTTGCATCCCTTGGAAACAAGAAATAAAAATCACGATTTCGCATGATGGAATTAACAAGCCAACAACAAATGATATTTGCCGTCATGGCGTCACGAGGGTCGAGTCTACCTCTAGAGAGCGGTATGGTTTCAGACGCCCTGGCTTTCCAACCTCGTTCCATGGGTCAACTCACAATTTCGAGACAAAAGGGAACAGGTAGTACCATAGCAGTGTACTGCTTGATGCATGTTGACGAGGTTGATGGCTTTCTTTTATCCCCCCAGTTTTGTTATTTTGTTGATGAGATTTAAAGCGAACACAAGACAAAAACCACATGTATGGAGATGTCATCATTATAGTTTTACTGGCTTATTTTGCATAACTTGAAATATTTTAAGATGCGAGAAAGACTCTTGATTGAAAGGCACATCACTGAAATTGCTCCTTTTTTCACATAAAGGCAGCTTAAAAATAAAACCTTGGCGGGATTTATGTTTGCACTATTTCAAAATACTGTCGCATAAACTATGATTAAGGGCAAGTAGTGACCCCGAAATGTAGAGGAGCAGATATTCATTTTATAGGCGATTCACGGATTTATTCAACTCTGAAAGTCTGAACACAAAGTTGGAAGCCAAATGCGAGTCTGAGAGGTATAGAGTTTGGTATTGTCAGAGTCCGAGTCTAGGTCATTTTACGACTTTTTCCGACTCGTCGGTGCAATCGAGTCTTAAACTGGAGTGCCAGACTATAACAACAATGTTGAACACATGTTCTTGAAAGCATATCCAATATCCATGACTTTCGTAATCTTCCATTTTTTATGTTAATAAGAATAATGAACAAAATCAAGAAAACGTACTTGTACTTTGACTGAAAATACCCACCTTTTGCCACTTGCTAACGACAGCTTCCCTGCCACAGCCCGTGAAGAGATGATCCACGCAGCAGGAATCGGGCGTCTCCCCAGGCTGGCTCATACTGGGGTGGAAGCGGCTCCAGTCGGCCGAATTGTTGACGCCACAGCAAGACAACTAGGACGGACCCATTCAAAATGCAATACATGTATTATACAACTGGGCCTTCTTGTTGTCATCCCCACCCAACCTTCCGTCCCTGCCCCACCCTTATAGGTTGGGTGCAGTGTGATGGGAGGCCCCTGGCATGGTTGGGGGATATTAGTCATCATTTTGCATGCAGTTAAACATTTATCACGTATTGATAGAGATAGTTATGGAGTCCAAGGGTTGGAGAAGCACGGTATCACACTTAAACGAGGCTGTATATAGTTACAATGGTTTCATACAATTACGAATTACGATTCTCTGCTGGACCCGAAGAACCAACCTATAGACCTGCTGCCAACATTTCAGTCATGTTCCCTGTATCCAATAACAGTACTGAATGGTATTATCACTTGTGCAAAAAGGAATCAGCCTGTTTTTCCTTCCAGCCTCGCTTTGGTTAAGTTGATTTGAATGGGAAAATATCAAGATGGCCGCAACACGATAATGGCCAATGGTCTTTATCCTCCTGAGTGACTGATTGACTCACTCACTGAGTGACTGACTGAGCCACTGCCGTATGAATAATGTCACACGCTGCTAGGTACTGTCGAGCTTTCCAGTCTAGCCCTTTCCCTACTCTTTCCCTCATCTTTTGCAGTGTCAGCGGTACGGTTTACGGACACTTAAGTCGAGGAATTGTTGCTGGTCCAAGGTTGGCCAACATATAATCCTCTTCAAGTTCGTATATCTCTGGCTGACTGACTCACTGACTGAAAATTGTGAAGTACAATTGCATTAGCCGCACCTCACCTTATAGCCTAACAAAATGAATCAGATGACTACCTAGAAGCTTTAGACTACATTGGTGCAGGACCAGCTTTTACTATATTCTTTTTCTATCGTAAACGTGGCCACTCACCGAGGTCTGCAATCGATCCCAGGCCGACGTCAGGCCGTGTTGGCCCGCCTTGCCGTACAGCGGCAGCCCATTATGGCTCATGTCCTGCTCGATGAAAGCTTCCACCTCTTTCCTGTTGGCAAAGCCTAGCCCGCCAGCTATCATCTCCGCGGTCAAGATGCCAACCATTATGATAAAATACTGCCCAAGAAAAAAAAGGTTCAGAAAATAAGCCATACTTGTGAGCAAATTAGGGCAGTGTAATCATGAAGCCATATTGGGGTACAACCGATGTTAATTTAAGGCTAATACTCACCCTGTATTTCAATCGACAATTTGAGTGTTATTTACTCTAAATCGACTGTCCCTAGTTTCACTCTTTGAAGTTTAGAGAGTAATATTTGACAAGTGGTTAGACGTTGCTTTTGCATGTATGGATGATATGCCATAGGCCTAAACATCCACTTTAACCTTTTTTAAGAAAATAATTTTAATACGTCCGAATTACATATTGTCGGGTTGCCGTCCGTTATTTTGGCTCATCAGATGGAAAATGTACTGTGATAAGCAATAATATGAGGGATGAATTTTGTAGTACACTTTTCGCCGCATGATAGGTTTTTTTTTATCATACTCACGGCAGCCAGCATGCACTCGCTTTCCTTGATGGCGCCACAGCAACCCAGGAAAGACACGGCCATGATGATGCAGCCCACGACCATGGTAAGAGTGGTCACATTGAGGAAGGGGAAACTGGGAAGAAGGGTCGCGAAGGGACCCTCACGGCTGTATAAGTAAGCACCTACGGCTAGCACGGCCACTCCGGCAATCTGTAACGAAACGGGAGACAACTGTCATTGTTGTTTTGACTCATTTTCTATATAGTTTATTTCTTCTTCACCATGTTCACTATGCTCCAATTCCAGAGATTTATAGTCAACTTCTCAGAAGTATATCACAAGCAAATCATAAGTCAATCACAAGCAAATCATGTGTCAATCACAAGTTAATAATGTAATGAATCGATCACAAGTAAATCATAAGTGGATCACAAGCAAACAATAAGTCCTTCACACATATGTCATCGCAAGTAATCACGAGTCAATTTCAAGCAAATCAAAAGCAAATCGTGAGTTAATCACAGGCAAATCATAAGTAATTCATAAGTCAATCACAAGCAAATCATACGTCCATCACAAGTAAATCATAAAGTCAATCACAAGCAAATCATTAGTCTATCACAAGTACATCATAAGTCAATCATAAGCAAGTCATAAGTAATCATAAGTAATTCATCAGTCCATCACAAGTGAATCATACGTCAATCACAAGTAAATCATGAGTCAATCACAAGCAAATCATACGTCGATCACAAGCAAATCATAGGTCACGTACAAGTAAAACATGTCATCAAAGTCATCACATAGTAAAATTTGCGTCAGCAGAAGGCATCGCAAGTCGTCTCAGGTAGTCCAATCACAAGCCATGCCACAAGATAATCAAATAATTCATCTTTGTAGCCTTTGTTCCTCTTGATCTATTGTTGTTTTAACATGTCGTTTCCACTCAGCGTAGCTGCTATGCTAATAAAATTAATCACGAGTCGACTAGTCTCAAGTCGAGGGACGAGAAAGTCCGTTCATTTCCTCTAATACTTGTGACCTGGCTTTTGATCATGACTATATAAAGATATCGAATCCCCTCCGTACCATCCTGTAAATGAACTTGCAATAGGTCAATTGCATCACCATCATTACAATTATTATCACAACCATAAAGCCTTCATCATAACTACCATTTTGCCATTACTAAAAATTACTTACAAAAAATAACAAGTTGAACACGAACAGGAAACATTTCGCACAGTCTCTCGCCCCCATGTTGAAAAGAGACAAAAACCTACGGTTGAAGCTATAGCAACCTGTTACAAGAATTGAGAAGAAAATTTCAATGCATTTGATCTTTCTCCGAAGCCTGCATGTTCGTGCCCCCTAAAATGTCTCCTTCCTTTTTACTCTATATCGATCGGTACATTCTGTCTCTGGGTAAATAGAAAACGGATGACGACACTTCTTCCAATTACAGCAGTGCGGTGTGGATATTTTCACGGTACATATACCTTTTTTTCCGGTTTCAAATTTTGTTCAATGTCAGCAGTCAGAACTGTCTGTAAGGACACTTTTTTTTTACAGCACTGAGTTTTGAAAGAATTAAAATCTTCAATTGTTTACGTACTATGTTTCCAGATTTCTTTGTTATAGGGGTAACAATATTGTTCCCCAATGTTCAACCCCTGTCGCCGCACAAATGTTCCCTTTAAAATGCGCAAAATGTGTTCATGCATTAATTAAAATGTGTGCCAAAATATTTTTGGAGGAAAATAAAGAAACCATGCATTTACAAAAAGGGTTCAAAATTAGTCGCACAATATTAACTGCAGACAGCATTTCACAACTGCCGTTCTTAATATTCAAATACTGCCGTTCTTTATATTCAAATAAAAATGAATTTATTGCACCTAAGGAATACGTTGCACGAACAAGAAAAGAAGTACTCACCTCTGCTTTACAAAAAAGCTGGAAACGACACGACTTTCAAATCAAACACCTCCGTCAGAAACTTCTCGAGCTCCGCGATCCAGCCCAGGGGTTTTGGGAATTACACAAGTTGATGCAACTCTGAATTATGAAGTTACGCCCATTATGCCGCATTACATGCTTTCCATTTCAACGTTGAGTGTTCTTCTCTTATGACGCAGACTTCAACACCCTTCCCCTGTGTTGATGAAAGCTTCCCCCTTCCTTTACCGGATCGAAGCTGGGAAACAGGATTTGACTTTTTGACTAGACGGAACTGACCTTTCGTGAACTAGAACGAGCAACAGCCTCATAAGTTTGGTTCTGAGATTTCATTGGTTGCCATTTTGTAGTCCGATTCGACAAGTTGTCAAATACGCCCCAACCTCGTTCCCATGTGTAGTGGTGGTTGGAGCAGTACGCGCGTACTGCTCCAACCACTACCTGCTCTCTCACACTGGTATTAGATCGTTTGCACTATGCAAATAAGGAATAGTCTGGGGCCTGGGGTAAAATCGTCGGGGTGTGAGATCGGAAAACACGATTGTCCTCAAAGTTAAAATGTCACAAACTTATCCAATATGCAGTATCACATTACATATTACATGTATTGTAAGCAAAATGAAAGGGGATGTGTTTTTGAGGTGGAGTGGACGTAATAATTCACATTACAGGTTAAAATACGTAGCCTATAAATGGTTACTGTTGGAAACGAGGTTCAAAATAAAGTAACCCTGGGGACGAGTGTCGAATACGCGCAGACGCGTGCGACACGCATTTTGCTGCCCAAGGTCACGAAGGAAAACAATTCTCTCGACGAGCCGGCCGATGTCTGACTCATAACGTGGGGAGGGAATCTCGATCAGACTGTCACGTTGACAGTCTGTCGGGATATGGCTACTCGGCATGTTCTATCTTGCCTAGATGACGAATTCTTCCATCATTTTGGACTCCCTGTTCCGTTTTGGAAAAATTCAGCATGATTAGTCTCGGTCCAAGCCCGTACTTGGATTCTATGCCCTTAACATGCAGCCCAGTCGGTCCCCGATCTGAAATGTCATGCTTGGATACAGCGCGTGAGAGGTAGGCTGGGGATTCCTTGGGTCGAAGTGCCAAAGTTCCCAAGATAGGATTTGAACCATTTTGTTGATTGCAACCCTCTACCGTCACGGTGGCTTGCGCCGCGTGCTTGCCAAGAATCGGGGGGAATCTAGAGCCAAGACTACATGGTATAGACCTTTCTGCGCTTGGTTGGCAAACTGCATTTTTGCCAACCACGGCCTGCAAAACTATGGAAGGTCCAACACTGCAAAAATGAAGAAGAGTTATTACAGATCACCACAATATTATTTGATACTTGAAAATACAACATTTTCAACAACGCTACAAAATAATTCCCACAAATGTCTTTTTACCATGTGTTGGTGGCGTTATGAGGACTTTTTGGGAAAAATATGTTGCCAACCACAGCTTCAATTTATGCGCTTACGGCAGCCCATACAAAATGGCGCCAATGTTTACAAACAAAAGAAAGGCCCATAGTACAGTACTGCAGGCAGATGTGGGATTGTGTCTTTGATGATACAAGTATGGAATTAATTGGCACACAGTCAGAGATATTTGGCTATAGTGCCATCGCAGATTTTTGTCCTTCGAAAAAAATATAGGTAGAATAACAAGCAAATAAAAGGCAGCCATTTTGAAAACCAACTAACAAACAATGACACAATTTTAAAGAAATAAATCGGATAGATTGGCTAAAGTTGTTTCGGTCTGTTTTAATGGACATTTAAGAACAAACTTCCAGTTCAAGTAAAACGTAGAAAGTAAAAGGTATGAGCATGCTCTTGGGAATTCTACATAGTTGGAAGCAAAGTTGAGACTGTTATTCCAAAACAACGTGACTATTTTTGACTAGATGAAACGAATAATAGTTGATTTCGGATACAAAAGGTGGCCCTTAAATGAAATGTACAACATTAATTTTGGTTTTGCTGCAATTTTCAGAAATAAATGGATTTTGAGGATTAATATGTTGTAGCAAATATTGTTAAATTGACTTGTTTCACGTTTTGGGCTTGCAGATGTTGGAAAAAAACCAAGAAAACCAATCATGCTCTTGTAGTCTGGTTAACCCCAATTAAGATGAAATGGAGCAATTTATAGACTTTGGGGAATTGTAAAATTTTCAATCTCAAAGGCTTGTACCCCTTCACAGGTGTGCAATCAATTGCAAAGAAAATAAGGGAAAGGAAATGCGGAATAACTAAATATGACAAATAAGAAGCAGTTTTTGTAAAAAGCCAGTTCCTCCATTGCTGGTGGTTCGACCATAGTTCGACCAGCGTTGGAAAAGTACAATTTTTCTTGAAAATGCCAGCACACACGGAGCCATGATTTTACAGGATGCTTTAGACTGTCATTCCCTAACAATCCAGTAAGGTATTTCGTGATAACTTTATCATTTCGTTTTCCGTGTTTGCAGATGTTGTATTTTCCCTTTAGAAGACATTGTCTGGTATGTTGAAATGATAGTGATGGAAAAGAACAGAACAATTGTTTGAAAAGCTAAATACCCAAGGCACAAAAAAAAATGGATTTTCGTCCAGAAAAATCTTTAAGGCAATGGCAAAAAAATAATAATAGTAAGAAAAACTTTATTAACACAACACTAACCAATAAAGGCATGTGTAAGAAACCAGTACCTTTTTCAAAGAATAATAACGGAAAAAAGTCATCATAAGATAATATAAATAAGTGTCCACGTTATAAAAGCACAAATTACATGTTCCACTATGGTTGTAATATACCATTACAATTTCATATTTTTAATACCCACATTTCTTTTTAATTTATTCAAGCAAAGCACTTCACATTCAACCAAGTATCAACAAGTGGTCATGTAAAAAAAAAAAAAAAAAAGCTGAATTACAATTTTTTTTAGAGCACTTGATGTGACTTGTTATAGCATTATTAAGGGAACTGTAATTACTATATGATGTCCTGGTTATTTCAAAAAAAATCAATTTCGTCCAAGAAACGAAACAAATTTAGTGATTTACCATTCAATTTCAAAGTTTGGTCACCCATTTTAGTCACCCAGTCAAGCGTATGCGTAATTATACAGATCAAATTTGACTAAGCTGTTGCCGAATGACAGCATTCAAAGATCGAAGTTTGTCTTCTATAAATCAATAAGATAAATCTGATTTCTGAACAACAAGGTTTCGCGTAGACGAGACAAAATCGAATACTTTGAGATGAAAGCGTGTGCTCATTGTTTGAATTTGCTTGAACTGAATTTGAAATTGTCTCACAAAAGATGAAATTAAACATTGAAAGTGTACTAAAACAATGTTGATGGACTGTGGACGAATTTGAATATTAGAAATGGTGAATTCTAAGGCTAAACGTTTCAAAATAGCCGGGAAAACCTGTCAACAATTTTCTTTCTTGGCATGATGGAACATAATTCACGAGGTGGGACATTTGAAAACTGCTAACTTAACATGCTGATCTGTTCTAGAAATCTTTGTAGCCACTAAGAAGTACAAGTATGCCGATAGTGAGGGCACTACATATAAAAGACCATGCAGGTCGAGGGGGGGGGGTGCTTAAAAAGCAAGTACCAGATTGTATGCAAGTATGTTTGTATTACCTACAATCTCAGATGTTATCTAATGGCAGTATGGTACGCAGAGTGGCATAAATCGGTGTCGGCGAGGGGGGGGGGGGGATGACTGTACCGCAAAATCCTATTATTGCCTCGCTGTGTAAATTGCGAAGAAAACAAAAGGGGTTGGGGATGGACACCACATGACACTAGGGGGCGCTGTTCATGATACAAATGTACAAGTAACAGAAACTTGCGCGCCTGAGTCCCTTAACCTTTAAGCTTTTGAAAGCTTAAATTGAAAGCTTTTGTACTGTTCTCCGTTTCAAAAATGCATTAAAAAAATTGGGACCATTGCAAAGTTACAAGATAACCTCAAAATGGTCTTATTTTGGGGTTTTTCACCACACCAATGGGGGTGATCCAATGGGCCAATCACGCATGTATGTAAGAAGCGCTAGAATAATAAACACTAAATAAAAGCACATACAATGACAGTGAACCTCAAAAGATTTCCAGTGGCATTTGATTGAAAGACAGGCTGGCTACATATCATACTTTGGGGGGGGGGGGGGGGGGGGGAGAGAGAGAGATGAAGACGACACACTCATGCAAGGCACTCAGAGCACTTCGGTAGTGAGTCAATAAGCTAGGAGTTTGGCTTGGTGTTAATTTTTACCGCAAGCTGCATTTTGGAAACAGAGACTGTGTGGTAGTCTCCAAGTCAGCCGTTAAGAGTTGGTTGTTAAAGTGATCGGGGTATTACTGCTTGCAGTTGCAGTCATCAATTTGAGAACCAATATAACTGTTTTACAAATACATGTAGTGCAAATAATGTAATACTCAACATGACATAATAATGTTGTAATTTCAGCAATGAGTGATAACTTCAACATTCAAGGGCGGATCCAGGACACAATTTTTTGGGGGACCAAAACATTTTTTGGTCCCCCAAAAAGTGGGTCTAAAAATATTACGGCGAGGGGTTGAAAAATGTTTGGATTCTAGATGCTCTGTGATGTGATCTGAGGCAATTTCTGACCACTTTAACCGAATTATTTTGAGGAAAAGACGGTGGTGTACGCAGTGCCCGCCTTTATGCCGACGTCATTTAAAACAAAAAAAATGGGGGTTTGTGGGGGGGGGGGGGCATGGCCCCCGTAGCCAACCCCCCCCCCCCCCCCCGGATCCGCCCTTGTCTACCCTATGCAAAGTGATTCGACAGAATTTGTGTTGTTTTCTTGCATTTTGGCTACTAGGTTTTCCGTCACTTCACATGCTGTTGAAACATTTTCATCTGAAGCTCATCGAAATGCAGCACTAAAAATAACCCCCTTTTTTATTCAATATTTTCTTTATTTTTGAAAAACAAAAAATACAAGTTTACTGTACATAATAAATCTATATTGCCGTATGTTCTCGCGACGAGAAATACCTGTAGAGTGCTCATCAAATGAAGTCGTCCATATCGTCATATCCGCCGTCGGCATACGCATCGTCGATTCCTTTGCCTGACTTTCCACTTCCTGCTAAGACCGCCTTTTTACCTTTTTCTTCCCCTTGCCAGCCTGGAATAAGATCGTCGTGAATGTAGTTTAAGGGATTCGGGCGGTTCACAATGCAGTGCGCCACCAAGAGTTTGCCATGGAGAGTCCACTTTTCAAGTTTGCCGTCAACAAAACATGTCCCATTTGAATGAGTGTCAGTAAACAACTTGAGCTAATTTGTTATAGATTGGGGCACAGCGTTCTGCCACCTTACAAAAAACACGATATTGATAAAAAAAAGAAAAGAAAAAGGCAAACAGATACTCGAATCATACGCTTATGAAACCACTGACCGGAAAACTAACAAGTTCAATTAGCCCGCGCTGCGAATTTGTCAACCATCTCCTACAATGTACTGAAAAAAAATGAACTTTCCGTGGCAAACTCTTGGTGGCGCACTGCATAGTGAAACGCCCGAATTACAAATGATTAATGCACCTAGTCAGTTTCGTGTGTGGTTTATTTGCAAATAAAAAAAATAAAACATTTATATTCTAAAATGACCTAATTGATTGCAAGTAAATAATAGGATCAAGCAAAATTTGTTCCGACTTTTCTGAACGCTAACCCTAATTTTACCTTATCCAACCCCAACGATTTTTGGTATTTTTACGAATAAGCTAGTTCGGTATTTCAACTGCGCATGTGCACAAAGATGTGGGTCACGGGTCATTCAGGATAATCGAATGTTTTGAAGGCACATGAACGCTGGCGCACGACGCTTGCGTGTAAATTACCAGCAGAATGGGCGTGCGCGTAACATTGCATAACATCACGTCAGCAGTGTTATCCCAAATGACCTTGGGTCATTAAAATACAGTAAACTCCGGCTAAGGCGGCACTCTCGGGATCCGAGAATTTGTGACGACTTAAAACGCTGAAACGAAATGGCCAAGACGTTAGTGCGTGTAGGCCCGCTAGTCTAATTGTTGTGCCGTTAGAGGGCGCACTATGCACCATCCACTATCGATCACTAGCGACTTGGGCCAAGACTATGTCGCACGCAAACGGTCCATTGTCAAGGATCTTACCTTTTGCGCTTTCGATTTCTCATTCGCTATGGCCGTTAGACTTGATCCTAGTCTTTTAACTTGATCTGGTTCCACTGTCAATCAAAGCAAACCACAATTGGAATTGGTCATTTATTACGGATCGTCCAATCAGTCTGGTGCCGCGACTTGTGGAAAGAATGTATTGAAAATCAGTTTCGGTACCAGACATTGCTTTTGACACTCTTTCCTTGTGCAGTAGTGGAGCAGTGATGCACTGCTTGTTCCATGTGCCAGTTGATTTTCATGCATTCCAAAGTACCACTAGCATAGGTTTGAAAACCTGTACACAATATCAAGACACCAGAGCCACTTGTCAAACACTACCACATTAGATATCCAAAAATTAATAAGGGAAGAAATGTGTGCTTGGCTGGTGTTAAACACTATGTTTAAGACCGGTTTGGAACCTGGATGCTGATAATAACACATGCCAACGGCGAGGGTCGTTATCAACATCCAGACCCCAAACCGGTCTTAAACGTAGTGTTTATGATACCGGGCGAAGCACATATTTATTCCCATTGATAAATAGGTTTTCAGTCAAACAGTCGAAATTATAAATATTTGAACGATTTTGTTCAACAAGTTTACTTCATGTTTTTTAAAACACCCCTCCAGTTGTGTTATGGTATGTGCCTCTCAAGAGAAGTCATAAACAACTCCTTATATGGAGATTGGCATGCGCATTGTGCATACTGTGTTGTGTGGCACATAATGCAGCTGTGCTGGTGTAGTGTGAATTTAGATGAAAGACTGGCTCTTTGGTTGTAGTGCACATGCCTAACCGAGGATTATGAATGTCCAACCAATAAAAGGGAAAAAGGGACTGGATTGCACAGAAGTCCAAATTTCATGCGACACTGGAAAAGTGAATAATACCAGCCAGCTGCTGGTTTATCAACCGTTTAAGACCGGCCAAGTGACGGGCTCTTGACCAACAGGAATGGATACACTGTCTTAAAGGTATAGTCCATCATTTGTAATTTGTGCATTTTGTTCGTTTGAAGCAACAAAAGTGCTCAAAATCTAAAGAAGGGTGCTGAACAACTAACCTGATGAAGTTTCAGCTCAGCTTTAGCTGTACATTTTGAGAAAAATAGCATTCTAGTATCTCGATTTCAAATCAAAATATTGCCGAATCGTGTTTTGAATTGGGCCTGAATTCAGCGTCCTACACACGTTTTCACTGAGCAAATTGCAGCTACGCGAAGTCGCGCACTGATCCGACGAATTATAGCAACCGAGCGCGCGTGTGCGTCGTGCCAATGCTTGTGCACTTCGCCGAATAACAAAACGAACTACTAATTTGAATTTCCTATGGTGCTTCTTAAGAAGCACCGTTGGAAAGGCCTTCTTTTGTTGATTTCTTCAAAATGACAGCTTGCCAGAAAGAATAATTTCACAGGGAGTTTAGTTCCCTTACTATCTTTCAACCAAGTATGTTTTTCAACAATAATTACGCCATTTACTTATTGGATAGCTGCAAATGATGGACTGTGGCTTAAAGTATTTACGAATAATTGTTAAATTGGCCTTATATGGTCCAAATCTCGCTGAAGTCCAACTCATCTTCAACTTACAACTTAAGCTGCACCCTTGGAACACGTTGTCGAGCATGTCTACGTAGTGCGGCGATTTCTCAAGCTGCTGTAGCTTTTCTTTCAGTAGTTTGGCAAATTCCTCGAACTCCTCCTCTGTCGTGGGCTGCATGGCGTCTATCCTACCTTTGACGTCTTCTGTTACGCCTGTGATAGGGGGATGTAGCGAGTCAAAGATTTGTGCAGTGAGGAGGATTGTAAGGAAAACAACTGAGTTGTTGTCATAGTGATCACAAGTCATTCGCATGTTACAGGTACACATTCTTGCCGAGATCGCCCTAATTTAGTGTTATGATTGCTTCTAAGCACTGGTTAACTAAGGTTAAGGTCAAGGGGGATGAACCTGTGTTCACAGGAACGGAGTGCCCATCTCTCTTTCGTTAGCGATTGGGCCAGACTCGTATGCTGCTGTGGGAGGATCGCCACACCTCCTCCACAGCGAGTCTGTTACCTTCCCAGCATTGAATAATGCCGGTACCCATTTAACACCTGGGTTGAGAGGAGTAATGGAGGTAAAGCGCCTTACTCAAGGGCACAACACGCATGGCCACGGCGGGGCTCGAACCACTGATCTCTATATAAAGACTGGATAGCGGATATGCATACAACATTCACACAGTAGACTTTGCATATTGACCAATTCGCCCCCGGTCTCACGAAGATGGCCGCGTATAATACGAACGTTCTACGCGTAAATACGCGCGCGTTGTATCAACAGTTTACGCGCATTTTGGTCACGTACACATATTATGATGTTCTAAAAGGGACACATTTCCGTAGTGATTATTATTTCAAAAACGCCGAAAAAGTGATTTGCGGCATTTTAAAAAGTAACCACGACGTTAGAAAAATTGTAGTAAACCTTGGTCAGTGGGGGTGGTCAAAATATAAGTCAAGTGAACCTTGACGTTACAAAAGAAATCATGCTGTCTATAAGACGGCAACTTGTCCTTTGTAGATCACCAGCCGGTCTCACCAATATGGCGTCAAATTCATTCATTGTGCGGCTCTTTATTAGCTATCCAGTCTTTATATAGAGATCAGTGGCTCAAACCCACAACCTCACGATCATGAATCCTGTGCTCCACAGCTAGACCACATGTGCCCACTGGTTAACTGGACACTCACAAACTTACTGTGCTATATTTACAATTCGATGACAGATGGAATGTTCCATTCCACTGGGCTCTGTCTCACTGAACGGAACATCCAATCTTTCAACTCATGAAAATATTCTCACCATTCCACTCATAACCACTCATTATTTGTATACTGACTCATGAGAATGTGACAGCAGAACTTGAGAATAGTTATTTCTTATGGACTAATTTAGGAACCTGAAATAGAAGCTATTACTGAGGTAGCTGCATGTCGTACGCACACGCACAATGCTCCTTCCACCATTAGGGTTACCAAAATGCACACAACTCACGGCTCCTGGGACATTCACGCAAACATCCACCCGTTATTTGCCCTTTGCACGCTTCTGCCATAGGCATGTAGAGCCTCGATCTGGCAACTTTACACACTAAATACAGCCGGTTCAGATTGATTCCCGTGTATACGCGGGAATCACTGAACCGGCTATATTTATTGCGTTAAGTTGCCAGATCGAGGCTCTGCATGCCTAAAGCAGAAGCGTGCAAAGAGCGAATGGCTTCTACTTTCTTTGCCAGAGTAGTAATTTACACGGCCACATATATGCCAAGTATGTCCTGTAGAACCTTGCAAATATTTCCCTGCATGTAACGTATTTCATTGCCGTTGTGTTTACCAAAAGCCTCCTTTGCAAGTTCGAGATCGGAATCTTCTTGTAGTTTCTGTTGTCTCAATTTCTCTGCAAGTTGCTCTTCTGCACTCAACTCAACCCTTTGTTCCTGCAAGGCATATGAGAAAGAAAGAGCAGATAGTTACCCAAGACAACTGTACAAATGAATCAACTAAGGAGTTGATTAATGAATATAGCAATCCAAGACAACTGTACAAATGAATCAACTAAGGAGTTGGTTGATGAATATAGCAATCCAAGACAACTGTACAAATGAATCAACTAAGGAGTTGGTTGATGAATATAGCAATCCAAGACAACTGTACAAATGAATCAACTAAGGAGTTGGTTGATGAATATAGCAATCCAAGACAACTGTACAAATGAATCAACTAAGGAGTTGGTTGATGAATATAGCAATCCAAGACAACGGTACAAATGAATCAACTAAGGAGTTGGTTGATGAATATAGCAATCCAAGACAACTGTACAAATGGATCAACTAAGGAGTTGGTTGATGAATATAGCAATCCAAGACAACTGTACAAATGAATCAACTAAGGAGTTGGTTGATGAATATAGCAATCCAAGACAACTGTACAAATGAATCAACTAAGGAGTTGATTAATGAATATAGCAATCCACTTTGGTTGGTCCAACAGGTTTTGAATCGGGGAGTCAGGTTGGCGTAGTGGTACTTTCCTCGCCTTCCACCGCTATGACCCGGGTTCGAATCTCGCCTGGGCCAACATGTGGATTGGGTTTTCAGTCCCTACCTGATTCCGTAGATTTTCACCAGAATATTCTTCTGGGCTTTTCCTCCCACCTCTAAAACTGTAAATTCTTCACACTGTCTTCTCTCTAAGTTGGTGTGATGATTCCCATGGGATGCTTTGCTTACTACATGTATATGATACAGATACAGAATTCCCTTTCCATGATTGCATTCGGAATCCATTCACAATCATGGAGTAGGAACAGAAGTACTCGGAAGACTTCCATTTATATCACCAATGACCTATAGCAAGATCATCAATTCTTTCCCTGAAAATACCAGCGATCATTTACCTCTGATCACAAGTTTAGAATTACAAGTTGAGAGCTCCTGTTCTAACACTAACGATCAGCAACTCATCAACTCTGACCCGCATTCATATCCTAAATGCCACTGGGATGATGAAGATTTTTGTTCGCAATTTACTTGTAACATTAATATTGCTCTTGATAAATTTGATTGTTCTATTTTATCTTGCAGTCCAATGAATGATGCTCAGGGTGTCGTTGACAGTGTCTGCAGCAGGTTGACTACTGCCATTCACGATTCTGCCAAAAATTGCAACACCAAACCTTTTAAAAAACATCACAGTAAGAGAGCTCATTGCAGGCAGAGTGTCACTAACGTTACTCGTGGAAAATACAACCATCTCAACAAATTGTATTATCACAAAAATCCAAAGAAATTCTGGAAGCTGTTGGTGACTGCAAAAAAGCTAAACGTGATTTTCATGACTCTGTCTCAATCGACAGTTTATCAATTTTTTTTTAATCCAAATCACTAGATGAATCTAAATCACTAAATGCAAGGCTATTACAAGGTTTTATCTCCTTCTTAGGCATCTTCATCTACCACAACATTTCTATTTTGAGGTAGCTGGAATCTAGTCTTGAAAGGAACTGAAATTTGATAACTACAGGCTGCTTGAACATTGTGGGCAAGTGGAGATGCGAATCAGATTCCAAGCGTGGAATCAAACTGATTCAATTGGAGTCTCCCAAACCTCTACATCAACCAAATGTTTCGATTGTCCCTCCTGTCTCCCTTCTACTGAATCTGAAACTAACAAAGTTAAACTAAAGGCCCTTTGTTTACACGAGAAAATACACCTATTAACCATTGTTTGATGTTGCAGGAATTCTGCAGGCTTTGGTTTGGGATAAAACACACTTGACTTTCATTAATATAAATACACAAAATATAAACGATGAAGTGTCTTTGGAGCTGATGTTAACATCTTTTTACCTGTGCCTTCTTTTTCTTTTCATCAAGCTCTTTTTTCCTCTTCTCTTCTTTGGCTTTCAGGGTTGCTTCTAAACTCTTCTTTTTCTTCACTTGGACAGCTTTAACTGTTGAAAAACATAATATTAATAACAGGTTCTTATATAGCGCTTTTAACTAAGATCAAAGCGCTTTACATCATTATTACCCCGATCATTGGGCCGTTTAAACATTTGAAATACCATCTCAGCTCCCTGGGAAGTATACAGCTCTATGCTGCCATTTCAGCACAAAGCAGCTACAATCAATCAATATAACCATCTCTGCCCTCACAGGTACCCATTTACTCCTGGGTGGAGAGAAGCAATGAGTGACAAAGTGCCTTGCCCAAGGGCACACGCACCATAGCCCCAGGCTGGACTCGAACCCCACAACCTGCAGAATTACCCGCAGACCACAAATTCAATGCTCCAGACCACAAGGCCACGGCACTCCACTACATAATAATATGTCAATATTAACAATAACAACCAGTATTAAAGGGAATGTACATCATTGGCTTTTGCTGTAATTTTCAGAAATGAACTATTTGAGAGGTTGGTATAATAGATCTAATATTGTTACACTGACATTTTTGAAGTTTTGTGTTTGAAAAGGTTGGAAAAACCAAGAAAAACAAAACTTTTCAAGTAGTCTGGTTCCCTGACTCCACAAAAGATAAAATGGATCAATTTATAGATGATGGAAAATTGTAAGGCAAGGGAACCAGTCTAGCTGGCCTGCACCCGTTCATGAACATGTAACCAATAGCAAACAACATTTGGACTGAAAAAATGGTAAATTTGGAGCAGTAGTTGAAAAATAGTGAGGTTTTTTCCAACGCTGGTCGGCCGACCACCGTTGGAAATGTATACAAAAATACCATTTTCTTGAAAATGACTTCACACCAGGTGCCATAATTGTACAAGATGCTTGAGACTGTCATTTACCAACATCCTAGTAAGGTATTTCGTAAAAACTTGGTAGTTTTATTTTTCGATGTTTGCAAATGTTGTATATTCCCTTTCAGACAATCACCCATATTTCTGAAATGTAAACAAATGTTATTTCACAATTGTACAATGAAATTTGTGTCATTTAATGTATGAAATTACATGTATAAGTAATCATAATTGAAAAAAAAAAAAATTACCTGTTTCTGTTGTTTCATTTTCTTTCTTTTCCTCGTCAGACTCATCCCAAGCACCCTAGTCGCACAATCAAGAGAAGATTAAATTAAGTGTAGGCCTATGTGTATACATGTATAGTTCATCTAGTAAAGAACAGTTAGCTTTAGATTTACTGAACACCAAGATGGCAATATAGGTCTACCTTCAACTGCTTAACACCACAATCTTCAGTTTAAGTTTAACAATTTCCTTACTCCACTTCCTGAATGATTTTCGTTGTTCTATAATGACCTTTCAACTTAAAATTTAGGGAATATTTTGTCTCAAAAGCTCCTCTGAAAATACAAGGATACTTGACATCTGAATATGCCCTCCAAGCAAACAAAATCTGTCTCGTACAAAGGATTTGCCGAGACTGCAAGGTTGCACGCTACTATCGGTTAAAGAGGTTGTACAACAAACAGCTATCACATCGCAACTTGTGCAGGCGGAGCAACAAGATGATTTGCATAAATCATCGACGTCACAACATTGGGGTCATCAAGTTCTGACATTCAACATGGTTGCCAACAGCAAGCGTTGCACATTTGCACATACATTGCATATGGAATCCAGAATGGAGAGTCAAGAAAAGTTTCTAAGCATTCTCTAACAAAATTAGAAACATTTCTCAGTCCCAGAATATCATCTCATTGACGGTCAATCATTGCAAAAATGATGACAAGACATGAATCTGGGACTGAGAAATATTTCCAATTTTGTTAGGAAAAACTTTGACAATTTTCTTGACTCTCCATAGACTTTGAACACAACCGCTGAAGTGGCGTCAGGTTGCAAAATTATTTCCCGAGGATCCTACACTACACGGCTTATCATGATCAAACAACCACAATTCAGATGTCACTTTTATTGGGAATTGATCATTCCAATGGCCTGCATCAATGTCAAAGTAGTTATAGCCTATCTTTCCAGTTAAGATTACAGTGTTTTTAGTTCAAATTTGCTGAATAAAAGTAAAAAAACCTGTGTGTTTCTAGGGTCTGCCTTTCACGGCAAAATACCTGGCAGAAGGTTCTACGGACTTTGAAACTTCAAAAGGCTGTAAGTTGTTATAGAAACAATGCATCGGCATACGGTTTGCACCATTGAATTTCTCTGGTTACAAAAAATACAAGCTTTAATTTGATGTAATGTGATGTATCTTTTGAAAATTATAATTTTGGGGTATTATAATATACCTACTCTGAAGAGGTACCGAATTTAACGATTTTGTGCTAGGCCTATGTATTTAGCAGTCATACTATCAGACTATAGCTGGGTTGATTTTCTGCTGACAAGCTAATTTTTATCTTTAATTAATTTTTGGCTCCCCTGGCCCTAGCAACGGGATCATCCGTGCACATACCACATGTGGGATGTGTGACGTTAAATACGGAGGTAGGCCTAGTCCAGTATTTCTGTCACATTTAAGTAACCCAGCATGCCCAGGTTTACTACAACTTCAAATACAACTCTTAGTCTTACTCTTATTTATTTGATCGAAACTAAACCATGTTAACAGGGGCCCTACACGATCGCCCACTAATCGATCGCCAATTAACAAGCGCGCCATCGCGCCACGCCGTCACAAGGCGCCCATTCAACGGCCGACTGATCGGCCGACTGATCGACCGACCGACCGCCTCTCATGACGCGCCTGCGCCTCAGCTCACCTTGACTTCCTCCTCGTCTTCTCCCTCCCATCTGTCACTCGCTACCGGCTTAGAAAAGCCTTGATCGGGGTCGAAATCTTCGGAATCTGTCACAGTGCCAACAAACAACAATTACTTCATTATTTTTGAACTGAAAAGCCTAAGACAGGCTGAAAACAGCGCACATAAAGAGCGATGCAAACGATCAATTTCGCGCACATGTTACTCACCCCAATCCGCCATCTTGATTGTTGAGCAATAATATGGCAGAGCATTCTGGGAAATTCCGCGAACTTTACTCATATACTGCGTGTACAATATATACAGAGATCGCTCCAGTAAAGTAGACGCATTTCTGGGGGCGTGGTGTTGGGATGGGAGGGGGAGTTGACATATACAATGGCCATCAAACCTGATACAAAACTCGTAATTCGTATCCAACCATTCAATGATAGTTTTTGAAAAAAACTGAACATTACATCATTATATTCTTTTGGAAAGAGTGTAGCATCCAGACGCCGCTTCTTTGGTTATGTACAAGTCTATATACGGAGAATCAAGTGCATTTAAAGTTTTTTTCTTACAAAATTGGAAATGTTTCCAGTCCCAGATTAATGTCTTTTCACCTTTTTTTTTGCAATGCAACTGACCTTCAGTTAGACAATATATGATAAATTTAAAAAAGGATTCTTTCCATGTTTTTTTCCAAATCCCTTTTTGTTTTGGCACAAACAAGTTCATTTTTTTTTATATTGAAGTTTAGGTGTATTGGCCTACACTTTTATCATGGAGGAATAAAAGACATGGTATTGTTGCGTTCCTCACACCAACACGAGTCGCTTACAGTTTATATGGCGTTGTATTCTTTCCATTACATTACAATTGGAAATCATAGTTTATGAAGAATGTGTATGAGAGTTAAGCAACTTGACAACAAAGAGAACGACAGACTTTGTAGCATTGATTTTATTACAGATTTATCAGCTTTTTTACCATAAATTTCATGCAACAAATATAAGCTCGAGTGTGAACCTTTAGATGACATAACAAACGTCATTATTACAATTTTAAATGGCATTTCCAACAGACTTTAGCATAAAATATGAGAACTAGTGCAGTGAGAAAGGAATAATTTTTGATAACTTTGTTTACTGCTTAGAAATATACATGTGTGTAATTGCTTTTCTGTTATAAACCGTCGGTTTTTGTGTAATGGCATGCATGATACAAGCTATGCTTTCCAGGTTTTGCCACCTCTAGTGGCCTTTATATCTTGTTCAATACTTATGTAAATATAAACCGTGATTAAAGGGAAGATACAACATTTGCAAACATCAAAAAATGAAATGATCAAATTATCACGAAATATCTTACTGGATTGTTAGGGAATGACAGTCTAAAGCATCATGTAAAGTTGTGGCTCCTGGTGTGCTGACATTTAAAAAAAAAAACTCTATTTTTCCAAAGCTGGTCGGCCGACCAGCGTTGGAAAAAAACTGGGTTTTTTTTCAAAACGTGCTCCTAATTTTCATATGTAGTTCGTCTACATTTTCTTTGCAATAGATTACACACCTGTGAAGACTACAAGCCTGCTAGACTGATTCTCTGAACTTACAATTCCCAAAGTCTTTAAATTGCTCCGTTTCATCTTGAGTGGGGTCAGGGAACCAGACTACAAGAATATGATTGGTTTTCTTGTTTTTTTCCCAGCATCTACGAACCCAAAACGTGAAACAAGTCAGTGTAACAATATTTGCTATATTTATACTAATCTCCAAATCCATTCATTTCTGAAAAATGCAGCAAAAGCAAATGTTGTTCATTCCCTTTAAATCACTAAAAAAAAGTTGTTTGAATTTATCACATCCTGATTAATAAATGGACCACAGAATAATTGTTTTTTAGACATTACAATTTGTTTTCATTGCTATTGTCACATTCACTGAAATATCCAATACCTAACAGAGAAGTGAGATATTATAACAAGCAAAGAGTATCAAAAGAAAAGCTTATAACCCATAAAATTATAACAAAATTCTTATCCCAATGTTGCGAACCCTGCACCAAAACCAAAAATAAAACCTTATAGATAAATAAACCCCCAAAAAAGCAATAACATAAAATAAAAACCATAAAACTTCAATTCTAACTGTGTCATTTTCACGGTCACCTCTACTACCCAACAAACACCTTGAAACTGACAGTTATAGTGATAAAATGCAGACTAAGTTTAGAAACAAAAAATTAAGTAGTGTATTTCATAATACTTTTTCGGCAAAACTGAAATATATTTGGATTACCGTCCGATGTAGACCCAATAGTCCCACCAAAGCAGTAAAACATTCTTCCTATCTTGTAGAGATTGCATTAATGCATTCACAATGAACAATTCAGCCGATTAAAAATAACAAAACGATTTTTCTGCATTTATAAGGCTTTTCAATGTGTTTTTTTTCATTATAGTGTTGCGACGTGATACGAAAATACCAATTATTTGTAAATCATTAAATGATTGAGTAGAGCTAACAAGCAGCAAACCCACGACTCGTTACTCAGACTTGAGTCTAACTCGAGTCATATTTTCCATGACTCGGCCTCGAGCCACGACTCCGACTCAACCCTGCGGATTCTGACACGACCTGCGCAGGCCTGTGAGACTCAGGACTCTACGAAAATTACCATAAATCACCTATTTATAAAATCACGATTTACATGCAAACATTGCACCATTCCTACAGCTTAAGTATATATTGTTTTATTTCTGGTATCCACATGCCATATTTGTTAAGGAGAATCAACAACTTTTAAATGTCACTTCTACATTCCAGTGAGAAGCATTCCTATTTTATTTGTACATGAGCTTTCAATCCTTCAGAATGTTCAGAAACTCTTGAAATTCCTTCACAGTACACAATTTACGACCTCTGTAGCATGAATTTAGGTTTTATGAAATACGGACTCATTGGTGACATTGCGCATGCTCATGCATAGATAGTTAGGAGGGGGACCGGTCACTTGAGAGGGTTCAACCAATCAAAGGGAAAAAGAGTCCGGTTTTCATACGAGTCCAATTTTCATATGACACCTCCAACATTGATATGCTCTTACGTCAATAGGCTCCTTTCGCCAACAAAAGAGGCCGCCTTGTTACCATTTTTGAGAGCTCCATGGCCGGACGGACACACAGCATGTGCAAACTCGTTCATGCGAGAAGTGCGCATGACTTCATGTATGTGCCAAAGCTATTAGCCACAGCGTCTATACATGAGCATCAGGCGTCGTCAGCGCGCGAATTGAAGGCATTCAAATTTAACCTATGATGGTCTCCCAGACTAATCCCCGCCCCAATAACTTTGGATACATTTGAAATGCGTAGTGGATGGACTGGGAACCAGTCTAGGTCTCCCCCAACTCTCCTTTTCTGGCTGTTGAAGGGGTACTTGTGCACGGAGCCCATAACATGTTGCAATAAAAGAATTCCAGAGTATTAAGAGTATTAAAATGTAAGCATACTTATCATGAAAGCTGTAAATATCACTGTTTAAACATGTCTACTGCTGTTTCATGAATGACTGAAGTCATCCATGGCTGTTTAATGAAGGATTATACATGCTATACAAAGTTGAAAGCTTGAGTGCTTGTTGTAACATCTCTACAGATGTTTCATGTTTAATTAAAAGGTGTCTTCACTGTTGATAGCTCGAGTGTTCTGGAGTTCCTGGAAGCGTGCTATGACTGCATCCAGGCCGTGTTCACCGTGCACCTTGTTGTCTCGGGTGCGGACATTGACCGTCTTGTTGGTCTGTTCTTTCTCACCAACCACTGAAGATTAAAAAAACGAAAAAATGTTCAAAATTAACAAAATTTAGGTGAAAGTTGGATGTAATCACATGGTATGTTAAAAAAACACACAAAAAAACAAACAGTCATGCTTTGGGTTTTAATTCATTTCCAAGCTAAATTTTCCCCTTTTAGAAGTGGGCGATTGGACCTTTCAAAAAGTTGGGAAATAATTGGGTTGAATATCGAGCAGTTAAACTTGTAGAAAAGACGTTCTTTACCAAAATGCCCGTATGTGAATAAAACCAATTTTTTTCCATTAAAATAAAACTTGCACGTTGAAAATTCGTTATGGAAAAAACAAAATATTTGCTGAAGAGCACGTACACCTTTAAGCATTCCACTCTTTCATACATTTTCTTACCAAAATTGAAGCATTCCACTTCAAATTGTTTTCTTACCAAACACGAAGAGCACGTACATCTCTAATAAAGTGTTCCACTCTTCGGTAATTTTCTTCGTACCAAAGAGGAAGAGCATGTACATCTTTAAGCATTCCACTATTCCAATTCTTTTTCTTACCAAAGATGAAGAACACATGTACATCTTTAAGCATTCCACACTTCCAATTCTTTTTCTTACCAAAGATGAAGAGCATGTACATCTTTAAGCATTCCACACTTCCAATTCCTTTTTTCACCAAAGATGAAGAGCACATCCATCTTTAAGCATTCCACTCTTCCAATTCCTTTTCTTACCAAAGATGAAGAGCTCATACATCTTTAAGCATTCCACTCTTCAAATTCCTTTTCTCACCAAAGATGAAGAGCACAAACATTTTTAAGCATTCCACTCTTCCAATTCCTTTTCTCACCAAAGATGAAGAGCACATGCATCTTTAAGCATTCCACACTTCCAATTCTTTTTCTTACCAAAGATGAAGAGCACGTACATCTTTAAGCATTCCACTCTTCCAATTCTTTTTCTTACCAAAGATGAAGAACACATGTACATCTTTAAGCATTCCACACTTCCAATTCTTTTTCTCACCAAAGATGAAGAACACATGTACATCTTTAAGCATTCCACTCTTCCAATTCCTTTTCTTACCAAAGATGAAAAGCTTAGCATCTTTAAGCATTCCACTCTTCCAATTCTTTTTCTTACCAAAGATGAAGAGCACATGCATCTTTAAGCATTCCACACTTCCAATCTTTTTCTTACCAAAGATGAAGAGCACGTACATCTTTAAGCATTTCACTCTTCCAATTCTTTTTCTTACCAAAGATGAAGAGCATGTACATCTTTAAGCATTCCACTCTTCCAATTTTGTTTCTTACCAAAGATGAAGAGCACGTACATCTTTAAGCATTCCACACTTCCAATTCTTTTTCTTACCAAAGATGAAGAGCACGTACATCTTTAAGCATTCCACTCTTCCAATTCTTTTTCTTACCAAAGATGAAGAACCCATGTACATCTTTAAGCATTCCACACTTCCAATTCTTTTTCTCACCAAAGATGAAGAACACATGTACATCTTTAAGCATTCCACTCTTCCAATTCCTTTTCTTACCAAAGATGAAAAGCACATGCATCTTTAAGCATTCCACTCTTCCAATTCTTTTTCTTACCAAAGATGAAGAGCACATACATCTTTAAGCATTCCACACTTCCAATCTTTTTCTTACCAAAGATGAAGAGCACGTACATCTTTAAGCATTTCACTCTTCCAATTCTTTTTCTTACCAAAGATGAAGAGCATGTACATCTTTAAGCATTCCACTCTTCCAATTTTGTTTCTTACCAAAGATGAAGAGCACGTACATCTTTAAGCATTCCACACTTCCAATCTTTTTTCTTACCGAAGATGAAGAGCACATACATCTTTAAGCATTCCACTCTTCCAATTCTTTTTTTTTTACCAAAGATGAAGAGCACATACATCTTTAAGCATTTCACTCTTCCAATTCTTTTTCTTACCAAAGATGAAGAGCATGTACATCTTTAAGCATTTCACTCTTCCAATTCTTTTTCTTATCAAAGATGAAGAATACATCCATCTTTAAGCATTTCACACTTCCAATTCTTTTTCTTACAAAAGATGAAGAGCATGTACATCTTTAAGCATTTCACTTTTCCAATTCTTTTTCTTATCAAAGATGAAGAGCACATACATCTTTAAGCATTTCACTCTTCCAATTCTTTTTCTTACCAAAGATGAAGAGCACTTACATCTTTAAGCATTCCATACTTCCAATTCTTCTTCTTACCAAAGATGAAGAGCACGTACGTCTTTATCAAAGCATTACACTCTTCCAATTCTTTTTTTTTTACCAAAGATGAAGAGCACATACATCTTTAAGCATTTCACTCTTCCAATTTTGTTTCTGATCAAAGATGAAGAGCACGTACAGCTTTAAGCATTTCACTCTTCCAATTCTTTTTCTTACCAAAGATGAAGAGTACGTACATCTTTAAGCATTCCACACTTCCAATTTTTTTCTTACCAAAGATGAAGAGCATGTTCATCTTTAAGCATTCCACACTTTTGTTTTCTTACCAAAGATGAAGAGCACATACATCTTAAAGCATTCCACTCTTCCAATTCTTTTTTTTTTACCAAAGATGAAGAGCACGTACATCTTTAAGCATTTCACTCTTCCAATTCTTTTTCTTACCAAAGATGAAGAGCATGTACATCTTTAAGTATTCCACTCTTCCAATTTTGTTTCTTACCAAAGATGAAGAGCACATACATCTTTAAGCATTCCACTCTTCAAATTCTTTTTCTTACCAAAGATGAAGAGCACGTCCATCTTTAAGCATTCTGCACTTCCAATTTTTTTTCTTACCAAAGATGAAGAGCACGTACATCTTTAAGCATTCCACACTTTTGTTTTCTTACCAAAGATGAAGAGCACATAAATCTTTGAGCATTTCACTTTTCCAATTTTGTTTCTTACCGAAGATGAAGAGCACATACATCTTTAAGCATTCCACTCTTCCAATCTTTTTTCTTACCGAAGATGAAAAGCACGTATACCTTTAAGCATTACCATCTTCTCTCTTTTTGTTCTTACCAAAGATGAAGTTGAACTGTGCCAGCTGAGCGTTGCGGATCTTCTTGTTCATGGTGTCGCCGGCGTCAAGGTCCACCTCACAGCAGAATCCAGCCTGGAAGATCTGGTTCTTGACCTCGGTAGCGTAGTCGTTGAAGACGGGTCCGACGGGGATCACCATGGCTTGTCGGGGGGACAACCAGAACGGCCTGCCGATGTAAAAAAAAAACATGTTGGAGAGCTTTCAAAATCATAGAGATGTATTAACCTGGGGCTTGACTTTAGCGCTAGCCCGCTAGCCAAATGCTAGTCAAAACAGCAGTGGGCTAGTTAAACTAAGTAGCCTGGCTGGCGAGTCAAAAATTATTGGGCTACGGCAAAGATAAAAGGACACGATGAAATAAAATTATGAAGCAAACCTGTATCAATTTGTGTCTAATTTTATTAACTGTTTGGGTTAGTATACTTGATCTGTTGCTTAAAAACACTGACAAGATTGCCTCAGGATACATGTTTTTATGTATGCACTTTGTCGTTTTATGAGACACTCTATAAAAAAAAAACCAACATGTGGGCTAGTGAAAATGCCCGCAAGCTAGACTAGCTTGCGGGCATTTTCGCTAGCCCACATGTTGTTTTTTTTTAGCCCGGCTGGCTAGTGAAAAAACAGTTAAGGTCAAACCCTGATTAACCCTTACAAGGGCGTGGGTTCGGATTGGGGTGGGGGCCCGGTCGGGGGTAAGAGGGGGCAAAATTGAGGAAACTCCAAATCACACAAGACATTTTATAGTATTTTTTAACTTGTAATGGCATTAATGAGAAGTAAAAAACGAGGAAATCAGCGGATCCGAGGAAAAGTTGCATGCCTGCTTTTTAGGGTAAACTTACAAGGGTACTTGATCTGTATTCCCTTGCACGAAACACATTAAACACCTAGGCACCGTCTTTAAGAGTTTGTTGGCACGTTAGTTGATTGTATTGAAATCAGAACCTGTTTGAATTTGAAAAGCGACTGTGTTTTTTTTGCCTGGAAATGCTCAGCTGTAACATTTGATTGGCTCACCATTTTCCGCCGTAGCTTTCCGTCAGAACGGCAATCATTCTCTCCACGGAGCCCAGGATGGCACGATGGATCATGACGGGTCTCTTCTCAATACCCTCAGCACTGTGAAAAAAAATCCCAGAAAACATGATTTTATTTTTTGTTTATTTCTGGCATTTCTGAAAAGTGCACTAGGCACTGAAGCTTGCAAGCCTGAAGAAACCTGTAGAGAGGAGCGATGGCAGCCATGAAAATGAATTTCAATGGAAAAAAAAACCAGGAAACTTGTGCAATAACAGGAAAAAAAGGTGTGATATCGGCTGAAAAGCCCCCAAAACATGCTCAAAATAAATATAAACGAGGACATTTGGGCAACCCCCCAAAACACCAGGAATTCCTGTTTAAACAGGAAGATTCTCATGCCAGTAATGTGAAGGTACGACAGTTTTTAAGGTGGGAGGAAAACCTCAGAAAAATATTGCGGGGGAAACCTACGGAATCAGGTAGGGACAGAACACTCAATCCACATGTGGACCAGTGCAGGAATCGAACCTAGTCCATAGAGGTGGAAGGCAAGGAAATAACCACTGCGTCAACCTGACTCCCCATGTGAAATAACAATACAAATCTCTACAATGCACGTTCTTGGGTGTTCAAAAATATGGCATGGGGTTTGGCTCTTTCCAACTAGGCATCAAATTTTCTGTATTAGTAACAACGACTGAGTTCTACAAGTATTGTAACGCGGAATGACACTAACACTAACACAAACTTTATCATTTGAGTAGCTTGCGATTTGACTTGAGACTTTGTGGATTTGTGAGGACTTGTATTGACTTGTGGGGACTTGTGAGTACTTGTGATGGATTCAACTACAACACTGCCGACTACGAAGGGATCCTTTTATCACTTTTAGCTTGTGACTAAGCTTGTGACTTGACTTTAGACTGGGGGACTTGTGAGGACTTGTGATGGACTTGTGATGAACTTGTGAGGACTTGTGATGAACTTGTGAGGACTTGTGATGGACTTGTGGTGGATTCGTGATGGACTCGTGATGGACTCGTGATAGACTCATGATGGACTTGTGAGGACTCGTGAGGACTCGTGAGGACTCGTGATGGACTTGTAATGGACTCATGATGGACTTGTGAGGACTCGTGATGGACTCGTGAGGACTCGTGATGGACTCGTGATGGACTTGTGATGGACTCATGATGGACTTGTGAGGACTTGTGATGGACTCGTGATGGACTTGTGATGGACTTGTGATGGACTTGTGATGGACTCGTGATGGACTTGCGATGGACTTGTGATGGACTCGCGATGGACTCGTGATGGACTCGTGATGGACTCATGATGGACTTGTGAGGACTCATGATGGACTTGTGAGGACTCGTGATGGACTCGTGATGGACTCGTGATGGACATGTGATGGACTTGTGATGGACTCGTGATGGACTTGTGATGGACTTGTGAGGACTCGTGATGGACTCGAGATGGACTCGTGATGGACTTGCGATGGACTTGTGATGGACTCGTGATGGACTCGTGATGGACTCGAGATGGACTTGTGATGGACTTGTGATGGACTTGTTTATGGCTTTGACTACAACACTGTGCTCCACATGTCCACAACCCTATACAATCTTCCTTTCGCTAGATTATGGTGGATTTTGAAGGATTAGGAGTTATTAAGGTTATCTTTTTACCTTGAGTATTTGAGGTTGAAGCGGATGGGGAGCTGGAAGTCTAGCTGGATGGTTGCACATTGATGAGACCGCTTCAAGGCATCTTGAATGCTGATATCAATCTGCAAATGGACATAGTCAATATATAATATATTTTCTGCTCATGGATATATTTAAACTAAAACCTCCTTGATCTTTCAGAAGCAGCCAGGCGCTTTATGAGGATTGTGAAGGTTTGAGGCTGAATACTAAGTGCCAGTTGATTGTAAAGGATGTGTTGGGGAAAGGATAGGTCGATACACAATTTGGTTGAGGACTGTGTTTACCATGACTGTTTATTCCACAACAATATTTTAATACACATTGATTGATTGAACTGGTTACAGTGAACTAAAGAGAACTGGGTGAACTGAAACAGACTAGAATAGAAATGGAATTGAAACAGAAATGAAACAGAAAACAGAATGAAGAACTGCTAGTGGAGCAGCACTTATATGCTGGTGGAAACAGGAAGTCTTGGCAATAAGAAATCCTTAAGAATGGGGAAACTTAGTCATATCGTGGTTTCCTTGAGTCTCAGAAAAATGACTAGGAATGAGTAATATAGTTCCTTAAAACAATGATCTTGAAAGTAACTTGGTTGTACTAAGAAACTGACCAATGACTTGTGTGTGGGCAGTGAAGGTCATTTGCTCTGTATAAAAGTATAGCGACTACACATTGCATAGGCACTGTGTGGGTGTATGTGTATACAAGGAAAACGATGAGTAATGCATTCAGGAGAATTAATCATTAAAAAGTTCAAAAGGAACATTGATAATTAAAGTGTGATAATTAACTAAAAATTGAGACGAATTGATAATGAAGAATTGATGATCTGAAAACGCTACAGATGCAATGTGTCAAGGTCTGAGGCTGTAGGTTCCTTGTGTTGTTTATATTAAGCCATGCATAAATGTAGGCATGGTAGTCCTACAACATACTTATTCGGCGAACAAAATAAAAATCCATTTTTGAGGCGGCACCACATTCGCGATCATGCTGCACGCATTCTTAAAGGCAAGGCGCGTGCGCATTTTGGTATCACTGTTGGTCGAAGGAGTCCCGAGTGTATACGTAGTACCCGAGTGCGACTTGCGCAACCCTGTTGCCACCAGAGAAAATGGCCGTCGCCCAATTAGTCAACAGTGGATAGTACTACACCTCGTAAATATTCATGATCAAATCGGAGCATGTCATTTGCTGATTCCGTCGTGCGTCCGGGAAGTAAAAATGATGCGCGCCCAGGTGACGTCATCCCGGTGAGTATCCAGCTGCGGTATTTTTTTTCTGGTAGCACCAAAAATTCCCTCTGGAACCCGCGTTATAGACATGTAGTCTGTGGCATGTTATTTTTACGGAACCAGTCTAATGTTGTAGTCCTTGTAACTATACTGCAGTACAGACGCATTAACAAGTGTTGGCACCAGACTATTTCATAGACTTACGAAGAACTTGAAAATCCCGTGCTGAATGAATATGCAAATTCTATGAAGGCGAGTTATCGACAAGGCAGTGAGGCTACTTAATATTTATGAGGTATAGTAAAACAAATACAGCATGGTTTATTTCTGGAAAGTAGTTGGAATTACTGGTCCCTCAGTGTAGGTCAGCTCGACTACCTCCCTCAGCTTCTCGTTGGGAGGTAGTCAACCTGACCCACACCGAGGGACCAGTAATTCCCACTACTTCCCCTCAAACCATGCTGTATTTGTATACTATCAGCAATGCTTCAATGTCTTAAGAGTGAGTTGGAGGATTTTGAAGGATTGAGGCAATGGTAAGCCCTGTACTAAACAAATTTAAGAAATAACAATGATTCTGAGGATTGAGGCAGTGTACAATTTTTACTTTCAGACAGTTGGACAATTTAAAAGGATTGAGGATGCATTCTAGCCAAAAGAGCAATATATTGACATAAAACAATGCATTAAAGCCCGAATCCATCATTTGCAGCTATCCAAAAAAGTAACTGGCGTAATTATTGTTGAAAAACATACTGGTTGAAAGCTAGTAAGGAGACTAAACTCCCTGTGAAATTATCCTTTCTGGCAAGCTCTCACTTTGAAGAAATCAACGAAAGAAGGCCTTTCCAACAGTGCGTCTTAAGAAGCACAGTAGGAAAATTTAAATTAGTAGTTCATTTTGTTATTCGGCGCAGCGCGCACAAGCATTGGAACGACGCACAGGCACGCGCGGTTGCTATAATTCGTCGGATCAGTGCGCGACATCGCGTAAAGCTGCAATTCAAAACAATTCGAAACATGATTTAGCAACCTTTGATTTGAAATTGAGATCCTAGAATGCTGTTTTTCTCGGAATATGAAGCTGAAGCTGAGCTGAAACTTCATCAAGTAAGTTGTTCAGTATCCTTCATTTGATTTTGAACACTTTTGTTGCTTCAAACGAACAAAATGCACTAATTACAAATGATGGACTATAGCTTTAAATGAAGCAGAATTTGGTCTTATTTAGTGTTCAACTGCTGACTTATGTTTAGAGCTTCAGTTTATCAGTCTTTGCACACTTTAGACAGCTTCGTTTGCTCTTAATGTAGTTCCTACCTTAGGCCCATAGAAGGCACCATCCTCCGGGTTCAGCTTCCAGTCTTTAGTGAACTCGTTTAGCGTGGCTGCCAGTTGCTAGAACAGAATAAAAAGAACCAGTACAACTCAGTACGGACTATTGGACTGTACCCATTTCATGCGTCTAAGCAGCCAAAATCTCCAGCAAAAAAACAGACAACTGGTAAATAAACAGCCAACTAATCATTAGAAATATACAGGGTGAGTAAAAAATAACGAAACCCAAATTAGGACCTTTGTTTTAGTGAAGTTCTGCATGTAGCACTTTCAAAATCTAGGATATGAAAGCTCCATTCATAAGCTTTCTTTTTGTACAAGAATTATTCAAATCACCTATGTACTTTTGAAGTTACGGAATTTTAAACACAACCACCGTTTTATAGTTCTGTCCACGGAACAACAGAAGGTAAGTGTTCTTTCAGCAAAACGAAAACGAATCACATAGGGATGTGTGTGAATTGTTTCGTTTTGCTGAAAGAACGCACACCTCTTTGTGATCCGTGGACAGAACTTTAAAACAAAGGTTGTGTTTAAAATTCCGTAACTTCAAAAGTACATGAGTGATTTGAATGATTCTTGTAAATAAGAAAGCTGATGAATTGGGATTTCATATCCTAGATTTTCAAAGTGCTACATGCAGAACTTCACTAAAACAGAAGTCCCGACATTTGGGTTTCGCTTTTTTGGACTCGCCCTGTATATGACATGCCATTTAAGTCAATTAAATATCTTGTGTGCTTAAGGGATTTCTCTCCGAGGTGCTCTTGAAAATCGCTTGTTTCCGTGTCAATAACAGAAAATTGTCTCCTTAGCCCCACCCCTCCCCTGCTGTTTAAAAGGTCACAAACAGTCAACGTTTCCTTCCACTTCCCCTGGTATACTTTTGTCACACCAATGGGTCACTTGACCAATTTTGACCCAAGTAACAGCACAACTCAGAATGCATGTTTGCATAGGAGGGTTAAAATAGAAATTAAGTACCTTCTCAGCACTGTCCCAGACTTCAATGTCTCCAAGGTATTTTTTGGGGCGGGTAGAGAGAACCAGCTTGTAGGTGAAGCCAAAGGTGTCGTAGACAGCCTTCAGGAACTCCAGACAACCCATTATCTCCTGCTGGATCTGTCAGGAAAGAAATAACAATCTTAACTTGTATCCGCTCCGTTCACAAGTACCCCCTCACCGGCAAAGAAAGTACAGTTGGGGGTGACCGACCGACGCCATCTTGCCTGACTGCAATTTTGCCGTGATGCGCAGCCGCACCACTGCGTGTACATAGCACAAATCCCCTGGTGTACGTGCGTTACACACAAGGAACGGCGCGCGTCAACCAGCTTAATTCCCAGCCCATAGGACATTGTTGCTAGGTAAAAGGGCGCCCTCTTTGTTAGTGCACGGAGCCAATAAGGGGTTGCAGTGTACTCACACACATTGCTGCAATATTCCTGGCGCTCAAGGGAAGACACTATGGGTTTGCGAATTCAGAGTAAAATAAATCAAGCAACCCTTGTGCCATATGCATAGGAAACAGTGCGCACACGCATTGTCCCCCCCCCCCCCTCCACTGATGAGCTCTCACAAATGGTCATGAGGCACCATCTACTCATCATCATAATCATCATCATCATCATCAAGTAGACTCTCATCAGACTGCAACAAAGGCACGCCATACATCACGGTCTCCCATGGCCGTCCTGATCTCGGCTGCGGAAGCTAGCCCAGTATCACGACACAGCTGGTCCACGTAGGTTAGCGTCTGCCCACCTCGAGAGGCTACTCCATGAGTGGGTTCCCATAAGATGAGTTGGCTGGCAGCTATCTCTGGATGCCGAACGCAGTGACCAGCCAATCGCAGACGCCTAGTTCTGATAGTTGTGGAGATCCTTAGCAGGTTGCCATAGAGCACCTCATTCCCGACTTTGTCTCTCCAACTCACGTCTAGAGCCATCCTCAGCATGTGAGTGTAGCAGCCATCGAGTCGAGCCTCTTGCTTTGTAGTTAGGGTCCATGCCTCAGAGCTGTAGACTAGGATGGACTCCATGGATGCACGGAATAGAGCTCGTTTGAGTTTATCCGGCATCATAGACCTCCAGATCTTCTTGAGGATTTGGCAAGCCTTCCAAGCCTGTGCTTTCCTGACTTGGATGTCCTTGCATGGAGTCAATGATGTGGCACATGGCAAGAAAAACTCTTAAACAAGTTTGCAAGTCCACTTGTCTTTTAATGTTAAAACCTCCTACTAGTTAGACAGACACAGGCAGTCAAAATTTCCATCCACTTCCCCGTCTACAATTATAACACAGGCTAGTCACCAGCAGTCAGATCATGTCAAGCAAGCACGATGACTAGTCAAAGTCAGTCAACAGACCACGAACAGCCAAAGTTGGCAAGTTGTGGGCACAGCTGGCTTATCAATTACCCACAGCCAAAGCAAAGCTGTATCAAGTTACATAACAGTCACAGCCAGTCAATCCTGCTGCTATGTAGGCTGGGAATTCTTTACTGTTCAAACAGCCACTTGATTGATTTTGACTGAAAGGACTATTTGGCACGGAATGTATGTTTGCAGACGAGGGTTAATGTCTGGAGTAGTTGTTTCGCTAATATCAAGAAATGTAAAACAACACGATTTCCTTAGTCCTACAGCAAATAAACATGAAGGACTGAAAACTCCCTGGATAAGTTTTGGAATCTGAGGTAACTTGAGCTCTTTACAGTTTTACTCTTAATAGCTTACAGCCAAAATTATTCTTTATAAAATTCTTTCCATTTCATTCTTGTTGAAAGTTTGTCCTAAAATACATTGTAGTTTGGTAAATTTTCTTCAGCGACAAGAATTGTGTGGATTTTTATCTTGAAATTCAAGCCATGTGTCGGAGCAATTAATAACATTTGTAACAAAATTGGGAGGAACTTTTCATCTGACTACCACCCCTTGAACAGAGATATTGACAAATTGGGCAACCACCAACATAGGGCTGGATAGTTCAGTTGGTAAAGCACTGGAACAGATATCATGAGGTCGCCTGTTCAAACCTCGTTCCAGTCAATTTCTTTTTTGAACTTTGAAAAATTCAAAAAGAAGCATGATTTTGTGGTTCTGCTTTATTGTCTTACCATTTCCTGGGCGCAGAATATATGCGCGTCGTCCTGCTGAAAGCGTCTGACCCGTGTCAGTCCAGTGAGGGCGCCAGATAGCTCGTTGCGATGCAACACGCCAAAGTCTGCCATGCGGAGTGGCAGCTCACGCCACGATCGTGGGCGCTGATCAAATATAAGACTAGCCGGAAAAAAAAACCAATTAAAAAGTTTTTTACAATCCATTGAAATACATGTGTGTTGGTTTTATGCGTTTCAGAATGTTGTGTAGAATTGTCTCAGGCAATTCTGTGAGTAACGTTTAAGTCTTTTTACCGACCATTTATTCACACTCTTTGTTTGGCATCTGGGACCATTCGTACGGATTGTTCATACAGCATGGTTCTGTAAATTTTGATGTGTTTCAAAACTTTCATATAAGCCATGAAAAACAAATGACCCCCAAAAAAGTGATTTGTTTCTTATAAGCAAAGAAACGTACTGAGCGTTATTTCTACTTCAGCCTTCTTTTATTTTTACCATCTTTGATTTTCATCTCCAAGTTTGATGAGATTTGAAGGTTTGCATGGTGGAAAGATACTATCTTATCTGTCTTATCTTGTCTTATTATCCCCAAGTTTGGAAATTATTGCTTTTGTTTGTGACTTGGTTACTTTGGGCTTAATTCCCACCATTATACTTGTTCATAAGTAAATAACAACTGTTAACATTTATAGTTCTACACAGAAATGGGGATACAGCAAATATTACAAACTTTAAGGAAAGAACTGGTGATCTACACTAGTGTTGCGCAAACCCGACCCGAAACTGAAACCAACCCGACCCGAAACCAACCCGACTCGAAACCGAAACCAACCCGACCCGAAACTGAAACCAACCCGACCCGAAACTGAAACCAACCCGACCCGAAACCAACCCGACTCGAAACCGAAACCAACCCGACTCGAAACCGAAACCAACCCGACCCGAAACTGAAACCAACCCGACCCGAAACCGAAAACAACCTGACCCGAATTCGAAACCAACTCGACCCGAAACTGAAACCAACCCGACCCGAAACCCAAACCAACCCGAGCCGAAACCCAAACCAACCCGACCCGAAACCAACCCGACCCGAAACCGAAACAAACCTGACCCGAAACCAACCCAACCCAATCCGAAACCGATACCAACCCGACCCGAAACCAAAACCAACCTGACCCGAAACTGAAACCAACCTGACCCGAAACCGACCTCGGGTCGGGCTGGGTTGGTTTGTCTATCATTTCAGTCGGGTCGGCTTTGGTTTTGTGTTTGCGATTTTCGGTCAAGTCAGGTCAGTTAAGCCATTTTGGAAAAATCCGAAATAAACCGAAAAAGACAAGAAACAGTTTGGAAATTCACACGGTGCAATTTTTATGGCAGAGTCACTGTGCACGGTACAACCAAATGTGGTTTGAGGTCTATCACGCGCAGTCTATAACATGTAGGCCCACCAGTAGGTCACATTGTGAGTACTGTACGGTATGATTCAGTTACTGAGAGACAACGATTTTCACCCGATGCTGGTAAGTTCAGGCACGAAAAACGGACACAGTTGCCCAAGCCAGATATTTAGGGTTTTTCAGGTCAGTTTTCCTTGAATTTTTGTCGGGTCAGGTCGGTTTTAGGGAGTTCAGATCGGTTTTGGTTCGGATTCGTTTTATAATTATAATGTTTAGGTTCGGTTTGGCCCGGTCAACCTGACTCGATGCACAACACTAATGTACACTAATTGGTTTTCATTCTCTTACCAGTGACCGGGACAATTCATTGGCTTCAGCGCATATGTCTCCTTCTCCACCTCAAATTTAAAGATGTTGTCCTGCCAAATAAAAAAGAAAAAGAAAAAATTACAAAGCCTTCTGTATAAGTCAATTGCATTCAGCCGCCATCTTTGAGGTGACAAAAGCACACACCTCAAGTATGGCTGCCATGCAAACGATCTATCGAACGAATCGACTATCAATGTACTTAAAAGCACCATGATGCTGGCCAGATTAACCAAGGAAAAAAATGCAAAATTAAATAACTCACATCATAGTGCTGCCAGTGGCCAGAGGTTTTCCACAGCCGACTGTTGTAGATGTTCGGACTTACGACCTCCTGAAAACCACGTTTCCTGTATTCACTCTGTCAAGGAAAAAGAAATCGAAAAAAATTCAATAGTTGCTTTACTAATATTCAAAACCTCATAAAACCTAAGACAGTTTACCCATTCCTATTGGTAGAGAGACTGTCACATGGGTTCTGAGCCACATCACGCAGTACTCCCACACGCACGCCAATCTCCATATAAGGAGATTTTTAGCACTGCGCGCATAATGCAGTGAGGCACATACCATAACATGGCCAAAGGGGTGTTTCACAAAACATTATTGTTGAACAAAAGCATTGGAATTTTGTGAATTTTGCAAATTTTTGACTTGTTTCGACTTTTTGACCATTATCCACGTCCAGGCTCCTAGCCGGTTTTAACGGTACTTGTTTAAAACCGGCCGAGATCATATTTCATTCCCCCAATCAAATCCTCACAATCAATCGTAAAATCCTGCTTGGGAAGAACGCCTCTGGTTATACACGTATCTCACATGGGGTTATTGATATTAAAAACACAGAGTACAATTTTGAGAACGTTATGCAACACCTAAAATTGATTCCATATTTATAGAAGACAGTTTTACTTTTTGCTGATTTTTTTTCTCGAGATTCATGTCCTGTGGTCGTTCAACTAACCCTGATGAAGGCAATGAGAGCATTGTAGATGTGGGCTCCTTTGGGTTGGAAGAAGCAACTGCCAGGACTCAGCTCATGAAAGAAGAACAACTCTTGCTCCTGTAACAACAAAAAACATTCACAGGTATTGCCAAGTGTTGAAGTTGGCTTTTCCAAATTTGTCGCATGAACACTTGCTTTAATGTGACGTCACAAATTCATGTCCAGATTTTATACATGATCAGTGCTGTCCGTAAGTTTAAGAGAACAAAAGTAAAAGCTCGCTCAAGTGGGACTGCAATTCATGACCTCCTGCTTACAGGGGCAGATGTCTGTGCTGTTCGATACCAAGCTGTTAACAGAGAAGCTTAACCCTATTAATCGCCCTGAATCCTTCAAAATCCTCTTTGCCAAAGTGAAGGAATTTGGAGAATTAAGGTTATGGCAAAAGTGCGTTACTGATTTTGTAGGATGCACTTTATCAAGGTCTTGGGCCGGACTTTGTGTTGTTTTTGCTCAGCCATGCATAAATATAGGCCTGGATTTTGCTTGAAATCCTCAGTACTGCTCCAGGATGTCACTGGCCAAGTCTCAACATATTGACAGTCACTGCTGCAGGATTTTGCAGGATTCAGGCAGTGGTCACCCTCCATGGACTATATTCAAGAAATAATGGGAGGAATTTGCAGGATTGAGGCTATTTGCTATTTTTTCATGAGGCCAATTGGAGGATTTCACAAGATTGAGGCTACATCCTAGCAAAAAGGCCTAGGGAGTTAGGGTTAAAGGGAATACGCAACATTTGCTTTTGCTGTAATTTTCAGAAATGGATAGATTTGGGGGGTAAGTATTTTATAGCAAATTGTTACACGGACTTGTTTGAAGTGTTGTGTTCATAGATGCTGGCAAAACCAAGAAAAACTAGAGGTTGTAGGAACAACCACACGGTGTTGGGCCGTTGATTACCGCAAACTTTGCCACACACACCAACTCAAAATGCATGTTTGACTTTTTCAACATGGCGCTATAGGGCGCGCTAACATTTTACGACGTCACCTGTAATATTTTTGTAAAGTACAGCCTAGGCAGAGACTCACATCGGTGAAAGCAAGTTCACATCTTTTGCCAATTTCAAATTATATGGCACTTCCGGTTTCCACCGGAAGGAAGGGTCATGTGATTTTGCACTTAATACCAAAAATGAAGACCCTGCAATATTGTATCGATTGCCATAAAAAACAAAATTTACTTTCTAACAGTTGATTTTATATTGATTTTCAAAGATTAAATCTAGAAATCTTTGGTTGCTTGATGACGTCATCGTGACGTCATTACCTGAAAGCTCGAGGGCTATGTTAACTGTGCCATTTTAAGCAAAAATATGGATTATATCTCTTGCAGTTGATTTTTTAGCAATTTTTTAAGGTTTAAAGGTCTTCTCATTATAACTTCCGGTCTGATGATGTAATCAATTTTTTTCGCGCACAGGTCTTGTCTGCATTAAGGTCCTCATGTATATCAATTTTGAAGCGATTACTGCAAATTTCACCAATGCGTTTTGGACATTTTTAAACCTGCTGCTAGAGGGCACTCCAACACTTCATGGCATCACCGATCATTTTTTTGAAAGGTCAACCTAGCCAGACACTAGCATTGTTGAAAGCAAGTCCATATCTTTTTCCACTGTCAAATTATTAGGCACTTCCAGTTTCGACCGGAAGGAAAAGTCACGTGATTTGACATGCACAAGATAAAATGAGGATCATGTATTATCATATCGATTCCCGCAAAATTCAAGTTCCGGTCTCTCACGGTTGATTTCTTATTAAATTTTAAAGATTAAATTTGTTAAACTTTCAAGTGATGTCACGTGACCCATGATGACGTCATAATGACGTAATTTAATACAAAAAAGCACATCTTCAGTGGGTTGTGCATTCATGTATTGACAATTGAAGTCCATATATGTTTTCAGTTTGACAGACAGTTCTGGAGAAAAATGTTTTTGGGAGAATAAAAATAAGAATAGTAAATTCTTACAATAACCATTGGTGTTGGGCTCAAGGCCCAACACCTAACTATCATGTTCCTGTAGTCTGGTTCCCTGGTCCCACTTAAGATGAAACGGATCAATTTGTAGACGTCTGGGAATTGTGAGGTCAGGGAACCAGTCTAGCTGGCTTGTACCCATTCATAAATGTGTAATCGATTGCAAACAATATGTGACTTTACTATATGGTAAATTGGGGGCAGTATTTGAAAACAGCCAGTTTTTTTCCAACGCTGGCTGGCAAACGTTTGCAACTGGTACAAAAATACCCCTTTTCTTGAAAATGATAGCACACCAGGTGCCATGATTTTACAGGATGCTTTAGACTGTCATTCACTAACAGTCCAGTAAGGTATTTCATAATAATTTGGTAGTTTTGTTTTTTGATGTTTGCAAACGTTGTATATTCCCTTTAAGTTTATTACCTGCTGAAATATTAAAAATGTTGACCCTTTCAAAATCAAAAGTTGTTTTCTTTTTACCTTTCCTAGTTTACGATGGTCTCTCTTGGCAGCTTCAGCCTGGAAATGCTGCCACTCCTTGAGCTGCTTGGTGTCTGGGAATGAAATGCCGTAGATCCGCTGGAGGGACTCGGCCTCTGCGTTCCCGCCCCAGTAGGTTGCTGAATTCTGTTGGAGTGTTTATACACTCTGGGTTAGGGTGTAATTGTCTTCAATGATACCACAGCAATTTAACAATATACAGGTTGAGTCAGAATGATCTGGACCAAAATTAAAGAAGTATTAAAATATGTAGCAATTATAAAAACAAGTGCAAATGAGATATGTTTGACCTATCGGGTGAAAGTTTCTCCATTGTCATGATTGTACCATTAAGATGAAAAGTGCTAGCAAAGAACACGCTAAAAAACACTCTGACCACGGTTCCATGGTTCAACAAATTTGTTGAAATCGCGTACTGATGTGAAGAAGTGTGATACCAAATAAAAACCTACATGTACATGTAGTCATGGTGACTGACTCACTTGAAGTTACTGACATATTTAAAAAAGGCAAAACCAATTCCGAGTGCAGACTGGAAAATGAGCCACTTCAATGAAAATGGCATAACTCCTCACCACAGTCACTAATTTGAGAAATTCAAAATTCCTGTGGAAGACAGGTAATAACCATTCATATGAAACACTAAGTTTTTTTCTCAATACAAATGTACACTCTATTTGCCACACAAAAAAGTGTGAACTTGGGTACAAATCATTCTGACTCGGCCCGTAGTTCATTTGTTTCTCCAGGGCTGTACTGAATATCCGAACAGCATTTGACAAGCAGAATATTAAAAAACTGTGAGTCACCTCGAGAAGAAGATAAAGTTGTTTGTCGAATGCCACATTTTTGTGTGAACATCCACTTTACAGCATGATTTGAGGGCAAATCCGTGAGGAAAGCCTTGAATTGTATCTCTAAAATCTATCAAATAGTCATGTATCTCGAAAAAATATATCAATACATGCATGATATTCTTCAAAAAGATTTACCTCAATGTGAATGGACAAATATTCAAATACTTGATCGTATCCAAGTTCCAATAATTGAATAAGTACTATATTATTTGAAAAATGCACTTTATAACACTATTTTTCCCACACATGGAAAATCCTCCTAAAGTGGGGCACTGTGGTCCAATGGTTACAGTGTTTGCCTCATGTGCTGTGGTACATGGATTCGAACTGTGACAGGGAACACGGTGCTTGTGTTCTTGGGCAAGTCACTTTACTACAATATCCACCCAGGAGTATCAATGGGACTGTCCTGTAAAGGCAGAGACCAAATTGCGCTGATCTGGAGCTGCTGCAGAAAAATGGTCTCATTCCTGATGAACAGGGGGAATATTGTAAAGTGCTTTGAAACTTTAGGTATAAAGCGCTATATTAGCATCACATTATCAAAATAATTAGCATGAATCCCGCAATAGGGCGACAAGTTGTGCGGGACTTCCCCTACATTAGGGCGACACACTGCAATAGGGCGACAATTTTGGTGTCCCCTATTGAGGTAACTACCCTTTAGCGAAGGAATTTTACTGTCGCAAATGGGCTAGATCGATTGCTCGTGGTCCAAAACGTACACATACCAAACTTGGTTGGGATCGGATAAGGTAAAATTGGGTTTGGTCACATTACAGTTTGAACAATTTTGTGCACGTTTCTATGGAAGTGTCGCCCTATCATGCAATCCAGAGTTATATTAATAATTATTATTATTAAAGTAGAAAAGAAATCTGCACAAGAGAATCCCAACTTTTCTTTACTGCTACAGAGTAGTACATCGGGACCATTTTGCTGTGAACCCAACTGTATATTCAACACCAACGGGGAATTACAACTTGATGCTTTGGAGAAAATAAGACTGTTCCTTGCTCCCTGATAAGACCAAGCAGATACAACCATAGAGCAAGGAATATAACACAGAAACTAATCTTGACCTGTGCAAGATACACACCTTGACAATGTCCATGGCTTTGACCTTGCCAGTGTGTCGGACATGAGGACCCCGACAAAGGTCGATCAGAGGACCACACCTGGAAAAAGAAAGACAGGCATTTGAAATTTGTGACATTACCCTTCAAAATAAGAACAACTCCCAGTGCCTGTCAGCTAGGAACCTTCCATGGATTCTGGGTTAGAGTTACAAAGTTAGGGTTAGCTTTAGGGATTTATATAGTGGTTGGAGAAATCAGAGATTTCAAAATCAGGTTATCCCAATTATTTTCAAACTGAATAACAGTTATCTGATTGCAAGGGAAGCTCCCATCCCATCCAAATCTGCCGAAACATCCAAAAACAATCCTGATTTCATTAACCCTAACTGCCCAGCATAATTTACTAGGAACCATACCCATTCTGGCAAATTCCAACACCCACATGGGAAATTGTACACACACACTGTTGGACTTAGTTTCTGGAGGTATGCCAACCCCAGTGTAAAAGACCATCAGTTTAGGGGTACTGTACCTATCCCAACAGATTTAAACAAAACCTGCTGTTGGGCTTTGATGGGTTGAGTTCGGTTAGGGTTAAATGTCAACAAAGTCAAGTGTTAATGCAGCAGAGGGAAAACAGGCATCTGATCACAGTTACATGTAGATCCTACTTTTCAGACACCATGGATACCAAATAAGACGTAATATGAAAGAATGGACTAAAGATGGAAACATTACCTGTATACAGTGGTGGTTGCCGTGGTGACCTTCTCATTCAGAATGCGCTTCTTGAACTTATTGTACTGAAAACAAAGACGTTGAATTCACAGTCAAACATAGCAAGATAATCTGTTTGATAAATAAACATACATATCCACCGATGACAAAATGAGACAGAACAGGGCAGAGCACGAAAATGCGGGTTTGCAGAAAGAAATGAGGGTCTCTGGGCAGAGAATACAACTCTCCTTACATTACTGCTTGTTGAACTTCAATCAGACATTCCGTCGACAAGTTATGGTTGTTTACAGTTCGCATTCATCGACATGTCAAAAAAGCAAAATACTGAGAAAAAGCCATACAAGTGCGAGTTTTATATTCGTGAAAATGAAAGATGCCAATTGCTTTACCTTAAAAAAACAAAACACTGTTATTGTACAAGTTTTATACCAATAAGATATATGTGTAGTTTGCCCCGGTGTTTCTGGCAGTGGCTGCAATATGCGCCGCAGTACCTTGTAAACCCTTATAAAGGTGCTACATAATGGGTCTCATATTTTTTATAAACTTTTATATATACCTTTCTTTAATAATAGACATTAGTTAATAATAAGACCAGCGCCTTGAGTACCTAATTGTTGGTATATACATGTATGTGTGCTATATAAGACTCTGGTATTATTATTATTATATCAAAGATTACAAATATGAATCAATCTGAAAATCAAAAGAATATCAACCCAATTCAGCTTCTTGAATTTTTGTTCATCCACTGTTACTTGCACCCACACTTGTAGAACTTGGTTCTTGGTTGCTTCATCTCCTAAATACTCCGCGTGGGAGTTTATACAGGAGACCAGAAACACCGGGGCAAACCCCTTCTCTTAGCGATAAGTGTCACTGGGTTCTTTTACGTACATTGGATTACACAACACGCGGGACCTACAGCTTTACGTCCCATTCGAAGGACGAAGCAATAATGGTTAAGTGCCTTGCTCAAGGGCACAAGTGTCCACTCGGCGGGCTCGAACCCACGCCACTGTTGCCTCTGAAACACCAGAGCATGAGTCTGGTTTTCTTAATTGCTAGGCCATGACACTCCATAAGAGAACTGGTATTTTAATTGTGCTCAGACTTGTGATGTACCCCACTGTAACACAGGATACTGTTTTTTGGTAATTTTACAATTTTTTTTTTATTTCTTACATCAAACATCTTGAGCAGGTCTTCCTTCTTCATCTCAAGCCGGACAAACGGCTGCTTCTCTTTCTGGATCTTCTTGACGACCTCCATCAAGGATTTGAAGTCGTTGCTGGACACTTGCCTAGAGTAAGAGGGAAAAGTTAGACAGTTATAAGTCTTTCAGACCTTTGCTTTGTTTCTCAAGCTTTACTTTGCACAAACCATACCACTGGGATTACTATTAAATGTCTTTCCCGGTGATAAAACCAATGATTCCTCGAGACTGCTCATGGCACTTTAGCTAAGAAACCTGAAGAAAACTAGGAAGATGACAAAGAACTAATCAAATAATTAGCCCATTATAATCACCAAGCTCCGCCCACTTCAACCGCTGCCCACCTCAGCCCACAAGCCTGCCCACCTGTCCATAGGCCCCGCCCACCTCAATATTCATGTCCTGCCCACCTCAGCCCACAAGCCCTGCCCACCTCAGCATTCAAGCCCGCTCACCTCAGACCATAGGCCCCTCCCACCTCAATATTCAAGTCTTGCCCACCTCAGCATTCAAGCCCGCTCACCTCAGTTCATAGGCCCTGCCCACCTCAGTATACAAGTTCTGCCCACCTCAGCCCACAAGCCCCAACCCACCTCAGCCCTCAAGGAATAACCACCTCAACCATACAGCCCCTCCTACCTCAGTCCTCAAGCCCCGCCCACCTCAGTCCTCAAGCCCCTCCCACCTCAGTCCTCAAGCCCCGCCCACTTCAGCCCTCCACCCTCAAACACCACCCACCTTCCCTCGATGTAGCTATCATAGTAGAAGCCACCCTCGATGGGCGGTCCGTAGCACAGACACCCCCCGTAATGTCTCTCCATTGCCTCGCCCAGCATGTGGGCGCTGGAATGCCAGAACACCTGTTGGCCCTCGTCGTCGGTGAACTTCAGCAGCTCCACTCGGCTGTCTTCCTCTAGAGGGCGGTCTAAGTCCCACACGACGCCGTTCACTTTAGACACCACGGAATTGTCGGCCAGTCCCTGGCTGTAGAAAAAAAAAGAAAAAAAAACGTGGGGGAGATTCATCTGTAGTTTCAGCACTGGCTTCAGAGTTGCATATCTGGCTTTGGAACTTTGGAAGCTTTTTTATAACAAATACATGTAGAAAGTTCTCTTATTTTGGCCTTGTATTACAAGTTCTGATTTCCCTTAAAGATATAGTCCATTATTTGTAATTTGTGCATTTTGTTCGTTTGAAGCAACAAAAGTGCTTAAAATCTAATACTGAACAACTAACCTGATGAAGTTTCAGCTCAGCTTCAGCTGTATATTCCGAGAAAAACAGCATTCTAGGATCTCAATTTAAATCAAAAGTTGCTGAATCATGTTTTGAATTGGGCCTGAATTCAGCGTCCGAGACACGTTCTCACTGAGGCAATTGCAGCTACGCGATGTCGCGCACTGATTCAACGAATTATAGCAACCGGGGGTGCGTGTGCATCAAGCCAATGCTTGCGCGTACTTTGTCGAATAACAAAACGAACTACTAATTTAAATTTCCTACGGCGCGTCTTAAGAAGCACTGTTGGAAAGGCCTTCTTTCGTTGATTACTTCAAAATGACAGCTTGCCAGAAAGAATAATTTCACAGGGAGTTTAGTCCCCTTACTATCTTTCAACCAAGTATGTTTTTCAACAATAATTACGCCAGTTGGTTACTTTTGGGATAGCTGCAAATGATGGACTCTGGCTTTAATCAGAACGTAGACCCTTATTTCGGTATTGAAAACTCCAAAGGCTTGAATTTAAAGAAAACATGCACCAGACTACAGGGCTATTAGTTGAGTAAATCCACAAGACCTCAGAGTATGTTTCTTGCCCATTGCATAAATATACAAATTATTTGATAAATACAAGAACATTTTCAAATTATAGTTAAGGAGTTCAATGTACACTGGCAACTTTCAAAATTCTATATCATTTTACATTCCAACACAGGAAGTTACCTTGTCATTTGTGTTTCTTGAACTTTACTTTAGTTCATTGTGCTGAGGTTGTCAAGAGAAAATCCCAAGAACTTGGTACTTCACTGGCCAATTTGTAGGCTAGGATATTAGTACATACCTGATGCCAGCAGCTATCATGTAGGGTGTGGTCTCCCATGCCTTGCCTTCAACCTCCTTCCCATCTGGTAGGGTGACCTTGATGGGGGTGCGCTCTTTGGCTGAAATACAGAGATGGACAGAAGGTTTGTACCCCCGGTACTTAAAGATGAAAGCCTGTGCTGTACAACAACTTCCATTTTGTATAAGTAAGATTTGAGGCTTTGCATGGTGGAGATACTAAATAATGAAAGGTTTGCGGAAACAGTTTTGGTTTTGAGAATGGTTTTGAAAAGAACCAGAGGTATAAACTCGACGTTCCGGTCAGTATGCTCTGACCGTCTTCAGGAGAGTCTGTCCTGAAGTCTCTCCTGAAGACGGTCAGAGCATACTGACCGGAACGTTGAGTTTATACCTATGGTTCTTTTCAAAACCATTCTCTTAGTTGAGAAATTATTCGCACATGGTCTCTCCGCAAACCTTTCATTATCCATTTTGTATGTTTCATTATTTTTATGAAAAAAAACCTGAAAATCATATAGGCATCTGCAACTCTCCGAAAAAGGCATTTTGACATTGGGTTGCTTTGCGCCTCTAAAGCACAAAAATATCTTCTTGAATTTTTTCCCGGCCACAATTTATTTGAAATTTGTAAAGTAGTTTTTCCGTAACGAAACATGGGCAAATTTGTTTTAGTTTGATGTCTGATTCAAAAGCGAATAACTTTTGAATCGCAAGAAAAATAGCACTGTTCAAAAAAAGAGGGGTGCAAGAGGGGTGTCTCACAAAACATGAAGTAAAACTGTTGATCAAATTTATTGGAAATTTAGAACTTTTGCCTTGTTTCGACCATTAGCTATTGATGAATGTGAATAAATTATGTGCTTGGCTGGTATTACACAAATACTTTTAAAACCAGTTGGGGGCCTCGTCGCGGATGATGGCCTGAGCTGAATATCAGCGTCCAGGCCCCCAGTCGATTTGAAACATGCCTGTTTAAAACTGGCAGGGGGTGGGGGAAAGGGAGGGGGAAGGGTGGGGGCAGAGGGTGGGGGAAGGGTGGGGGCAGAGGGTGGGGGCAGGGGTGGGGGCAGGGGGTGGGGGGCAGGGGAAGAGGGCGGGGATGGGGGAGTTCTAAAGATTCCTCACCAGCGAGTTCTGCATCTGCTTCCGCCTTCAGCTTGTCGAACAGGTCGACCCTCTCCTGTATGTAAGCCGGCCATGGATCCAACTGAAAACAAACGACAAAACAAAATCATTGGGTTGCTTTTCAATGCACCAGTTCGACAGCCGACCATGGATATTTGCTGGGACACGTTTAGGTGTTTTGAAGATTGCAGCTGGAAAATGACAGTGGTTGTTTTGGAATTAAAGGCCCTTTCCGAAAAACACTATGAAGGATGCCTGAGCATCTTTCTTTAGATTTTGAGTGCTTTTGTTTCTTCAAACGAAAAAAAATGCACAAGTGACAAATGATGTACTCTACCTTTAGAGAAAAGGAAATGGTAAAGTCTGAAACTCGTACATCTTGCCAATTTACATTCCGACCAAAAAAGGTAGCATTTCTTCTCCTTACCTCAACAGGAAAGGCCCCGGGTGCAGGTGTTTTGCCTTTCTTGTCACCCTTGGCATGCTTGGCGGTCTGCTTAGCTTCCTGAAATAGAAAAAAGAACACATAAAATGCTTGCAACAGTTCTATTTTCTCAATGTGCCCTAGAGGAACCTTCCTGAATCTTTGGTGGCACATTCTTCACACTAAATCTTTTATAAAAAGAACGGGACAAGTCCTCTCATAAACAGTGGCTGGACTATCAAATTTGGGCGATGGTCTACTCTAGCCCGATTTGAATTATAATTCCTATTTTTATAAACTTCACCATGAGCACCTGAACTGCTGTGACTCGCATGTCTCTACTGCTTAAACTAGTAAGAAAAGTCACATTTCTTCAAACGAAGTGGCTATCGTTACGGCAGCCGTTGTTTAGCGCCCTCTACGATACTTTTTTGATACACACGCAGGTATATAATTATTTGTTTCCCCACGCTTTAGCGAGCAGTGCGACAGCTCAGTCGACAGAGAATAGGATTTTGCACCGCGAGGTTGCGGGTTCGCATCTCAGTTTTGCACTCAAATTTCTTTCCTTTTCTAACCTGAGGCTTCGGAGGATTTTTTTTTAAAAGGGAAATAAAGTCTGAATTTCATAACGTTCAAATTCACTTTTTTCCTTCTAATTTTATATTTTCTTCTCAATCTCATGTTTTTATAAAAGTTGCAGTACTACCGTAACGATAGAAAATGGGAAATGCGTTATGGCTGCCGTAACAATAGCCACTGCGTATGAAAAAGACTGCTCATCATGCTATGCTGCTTGGGGCTGCAAAAAGTCGTTTTTGAGCGGAACAAGTAAAAAGGGTAGGTGTCCTAAACTACGCAATAACCATGTATTCATTAAATGATCGAGCTTAGTATTTTGATTTCAGTTAATGGAGGTGAACAATCGAGTCACTCAGTCATCATTGTCAGTGATGATGAGCAAACGACGATCATGACGATGAAATTGAAATGGCAATTTTACCGAGGACATGATTCGTTTGCATCTACCAACAGGCTGGCGTCTTGAAATCCTTGCAAAAGCTCTCGCTAACATATGGGGCAGTGGTCTGACTTAAAGTTATTTAAAAAAAATGTCGCACTGAAAACAACAGGAATCGTTAGCCTGCCTTTTTCTGGTCTCCCTCCATGGAAAGCTTGGACACTCCTTCACCCACGACGTCGGCCATGCTGGAATTAATCAACAAGCGTAAAGGGCGCCCTCACTCGAACAATAAACGAAGTTAGTGGGTCAGGGTCCGCGCAGTACATGAGTGCAGATTCAGTTTGACATTTCTTTTATATCGGAAAAAAATCGTACTTTGTTCTTCTGGCTGATGAAATGATCAACTAAAACATTGCATCAGCTGGTCATCCTTATTTTGTGATTTCTTTACACAAGTTGCACACATCATGAAATCATAGAGGAAGTCCAAGTTATTTTGTTCCACGATCATTCGACGATAGTAAAAGTATACGGTTTTGTAGATGATGCAATCGCATGCACGGATGGTTCCCAGTCAGAAGTCGACAATGTAGAACGCGGATTGCGGAAACCAGCTTTTCTGCGTGCGTAACCAACTGCAATTACTGCAAATAGGATAAGGGGATAACTTTTAGTTCGTGTTAGCATGAAGGATTATGCAAATGTAAAAACTGCAAACACGGCCCGCCCATATGCCCATACTAAAAATAATTATTGGATGGGATCATCGCTGATAGACTTAAACAAGAAGAAGAAAAACAAAAGAGCTATTAATTTCTGCCTCAGTGTTTTCGAACCCCCCATCCCAGTCAGAAATTTGGGACTGAGGCGAAAATGAAAACGTCCCCCTCCCAAAACTGAATTCAGGGGCAGATCCAGGAATTTCTGCAGGGGGGGGGGGGGGGGGGAGGGGGGGGGGTGCATGAATGCCGATCAGCATGTAGTGGCCGGTTGTCCGGCACTTGACCCGAGTCCATAAAGTCATTATGTGTGAGTTTGTTTCTGCATTCAATAGTTCAACAGACTGGAGGACAATATCTAAACTACGGTCCCCAATTCCCAAGAGGTCCCCTATTTGGATTCGTGTACAAAACATATGGGAGGTCATCCTAAAGAAAGTACAAACAAAAGAGGGACAATAGGGGGTCCCCGATTGCAGGCAAATATACACACTTGTTTGTACATTAACAGTGTAATACTAGTACGAGTATTTTTTGACAGAGGCTTTTTTTTACCCTTACCCCCCACCCCCCATCCGCTCCTGAGAATGCGCAACTGCTTCGTCTCTCCCCAACACCGCCCCCCCCCCCCCATTCAGTACCGCTTCCTAACTTGATTCGCTTTTCCTCAAAATAGGGACTATGCTATTCTCCCATATTCATCAATTAAAAGCAGGCCTTATACATTTAAAACCTTGTCATTAAGCCTAACATGAGTGTTGGAAAGCCTGACGCTTCGACGGTAGAATTAGCTCTCATTTCCTGCCCGGATACTGAAATTGAAACGCATAGCGAGTGAAAATGAATAGGCCAGACTTGAGGAGATAGTATACAATCAATGTTATCAGGAAACGTTAAAATCAAGCTGAAGAAATTGTTTCCAACAATTAAGTTGTTTCAAGCAGCAAAATGAGGACAAAGACACACACCACAAAATACACACAAAGACCTAGACCTACATTCGTCCAGGGCCCACCGTCACGTCATAATTTATTATCCAACCCCACGTGCTTCAGTTTAGGCAAATTTGGGCAGCACTGCCACAGCTGCTACACAATTTAATTACTGAAATCGTTAATTAATCAATTGATTAAATCCACAAGCGAATGAAATAAAGTCTGGAGTCATTTGATAAAATTGGGCCTACATACATTCAATCAAGCTGTGATTCTAAGGGTCTTGATGAATGTGCGACTAACATTATAACTGGATACGCCAACGTGCGCAACCGGCCGATCAAATATAATGAAATTCCAAAAGTTGACACGATTTCTGCTAGTGCTAGTGTTCGCCATAGGCACTTTGGTGTTTTTCTCCAATCTCGTTCTCTTGTCTCAATCCGCGACCGGCCCGATCAACCACCTCCTACGCCCACCCACCGCCCGGGCAGGCAAAGATCCCACCGCCGCGGCGGAGTCAACGCGAGGGACGTCGGGCAAACCCCGCCCCGTCAATCTCAGCCGGAGACACGGTGCCGGATATTTGCCGGCAGAAACTGGAAGGAAGACCTCAGAAACTGACAGATTGAGATCCGGTCCGCCAGACGGAACAGGCCACGAGAACGGCGCGGTCCCACCTTGGCGTAGCAAACAGGAAATTGTATTTCTGAAACATCTCAAGGTAGGGTAGACCGCGACGATATGACAGGTATTTTTCAAAGCTGACACGTATAATTGAAATATATGGGGAGGTGATGTTCACGTTAAAGGGACGTGCGAAATGGACCCCCCAAAAAATCATACCATGGCTACGTGCATCGCGGTCAGAAATCCGTGCAACACGCCAGCCAATTAAGGCGTGTTTTTTTGCAGGCAGTATATTATAAGGTTAATTTCTTCGGGGTCTTGCACGAGAAAAAACAATCAATGCAAAATCTCTGCAAGTCTAGTTTTCCCTTGTCCCTAGTACATGGATCATATCGGGGGGAAGAACCAATCAGGCGCCGTGAAAGTACGGTATATGCGGATGTCGTTTGGGAAAAAAATTCGCATCCGGCGAAGGGGGAAGACTTGGGGGGGGGGGGGGGTTCGAGCCCTTCCTTCCTACTTTAGCCGGACTCCCATCTCTACCCCCTCACCTCCCATTAAACCCTTTTAAGCCCGCTCCCCTCGCTGACGAAAATTATAGTATCCGTGCTGTCTTGTTCACATGTATTGAACAGCGCCACCAGGTGTCATGATGATAAATAATGCCCCTGTGAAATTTGAAACCGCCTGACTGTGACCTCCTCAGCACCAAGATTACACCGTTACCATGGTTAATACCAAAAATACAAATCACGATTTCACGTTTTTTGGTAATCGTTGGTGGCTGTGGAGAGTGGAGACTCTAAACACTCGCTGGTTGACCGGCAGTTTCGCCTATATGTTCCTCATGATTACCACATAGTACAGCGGGCATTTGATGATGCGCACAGTCTCTCTCTCTGTTGTCATGGTATCCGTTTGGAAGATCAAGACTCTGGATGTACACATTTGAGAATCCTAACGAGCCTTTCATTTGCTCATTATTTATTATTTGAGTTATTATCCAACACACTTGACTCAGAAACATGCCATGTTGACTGTTGGCTGTAATAGGTATAAGGGCTATAAATCGGTACATTACAACATCATGAATAATATGTTGGTTCATTAACGATGGTAATGGCTACATTAAGCTTAGAGCATCATTATTAGGTAACTATGGTCTGGAGAGAATGTGCAGACTCTGTTTCCATGGAAAACAAAATCTGCCTCAGTCAGCATCCTTGTTGGAGGAAATAGCATCGTTAAAAATTTACTGTTTCACTCAGGCCACCCCCATATAAATGAACATATAAATAATGATGTGGTGAAAATGGAAAGCTTCGTGACCGGGCCGGAAATAGCAATTGGACGGTTGGGACATAACATTTGCACGTACGGACACAATTGAAGTGATATTTTCGGCGATGCGGCATGTTATCTATTATGCCAGGGTAGCTTTGTCTATTTAAACAAGAACAATTTGCACTCGGAAAGACTGAACACTCCCTTTGATGTAAAAGCGCCGAATATTGCTAAAAGGCCCATACCCTGTGCTGAAACTCCCCTTTGAGCTCATTCGAAAGACATTAGAAACCGAACATTTTGTGATCGGCGCATGATTGATTGTGCCATCACGGGCGCTGTAATTGCGCGTTTCCCAAACTACGGTGCGGTTTTCCCTCGTTGAGATGAACTTGCAATTGAGCAAACATACTTCCTCCATTCTATGTTTTTTTCCCCGAAGGAAGCGACATTTCCGTTCTGTCGGGCTGTAATAAGGTGCAAACAAGAATAATATGTACATGTATTCACAATGAACTTTTTTCTTTACTGAACCATGTAGGTGGTTTAGGGATTACCACTAATTTGTTTTCACCGCAACTTATCTAATATTAAAGGGGGAGTAATAGAGCGAATATTGTATTTTTGATTTTTAAACCAAGGTTTTATTTTGTGACGTGTGTAGTTCCATCACTTTCCCAATTATGCATTACATCAGCGCACTCGTTTTAATTGAGGGCAAGATATAAGGAAGGCTACATGAAGTTGTACTACGGTTCAAAATGGCTCTAAACATTATGTAAATCAAGAATTAGCGGTTTATTTTCATTCATTACATTACTTTTGTCCATCACAGAATCTGACAAACACAACGACGCAAACTCGCAGAGACTGCAATGGCGCTGTGCAGGGGAGCATCATCAACCCTGATGACGTCACTCGTAGTAGCCAATCATCTCCCTCCGAGCGGTTTCTCCTCACAGTTATGCTTGGCAACCAGGGCCCCAACAACCAACTCCAGGCCTTCCGATTGGTCGCGGCCGTTGCCATGGAGCGCAACTACACGCTGGTACTGGCGCCCTTTTTCAACCACGCGAGCGTGGATGGACTGGACATGCGCTGTTTCGAGGACACCCTCGACCCCGGGGCGATAAGCCGCCTCGTGCCGTCCATCACCATGGACGGGTTCCGCGAGAAGTGCGGTGGACGAGTCGATACCGTCATGTTGGGGACGAGAATGAATGGGTCTGTGCACCACGAAGAGCAGCGACGCGGGCTTGAACTTTACATGGATGGTCAAACTCAAACATTTGCAGAAATGACAGGCATCCAAATACCCAGCATCGTCTACCATCGGCAAAATTCTCAAATCATCATCGACTTGCCTAATGACACACCAACGCACACTGTCACACTCAAAAACTACTTAGACTGGTACCCAGCGGCTTTCCAATCTAAATCCAAATGCGTTGCATTTGTGTATCCGTATGGCTTACTTGGCAGGTTCCCACACAAAGATTATTTGCCCCTCTTGGCAAGATATCTCATCCGACCAAAGGAGATTCGAACTTTGGCGGGAAGTTTCCTTAATGAAACTGGAGCTGCTAAAACAGGATTCATCTGTGTTCATTGGAGGTTCAACGCCGAATGGAAAAACTTGTGGTAAAAAAGCTGAAAGTTTAGAATGTTAGATATACAATTATTAATATTCCTACGAGAAGAGGTAATTACATGCGGGCCCCAACATAACGTATATGAAGTCTGATATGAGTCTGTATTAAGTCCGATGTTTTGTTTTAATCTTCACACAATGTTACAGCAACCACTTTTACTTGTTAATCTTTTACACCCATTCATGTGTCACTCGTTGAACTGGCTGCTCGAATGTCTTTACTTTGAGAACTCACCAAAACATAATGTC